ACTTCAGGGAGATTTGCAACCAGTACACAACATATGTCTTAACTCACTATGGGCAAGGTACTGTTGTTGTATTTGACAGCTATGAGGAGGGAAACACTAAAGACGAAGAACACCTGCGTAGGTCACGGGCAACCATGAGTATCGAGGTTAAAGTTGAAGACTCAATTATTGTGAACTTGAATCAAAATGAATTCCTCGCAAATCCCAAAAACAAAATGGGACTGATTTCCCTCCTCATGGTCCACCTAAAGAAGACTGGCTGCGTAGTATATCAAGCACCAGGGGATGCAGACATAATGATAGTGAATACAGCGCTGAGAGAAGCAGAGAAGGGGCTTGGAGCTTCAGTGGTAGGTGACGACACAGACTTGTTAGTCCTATTAACTGCCCTTGCACCACCCAATAACAATTTGAAAATGGTGTTACCAAAGAAAGGCAATCAAGAGAAAAGGGTTCACTACATTTCAAAAATTCAGCAAGCCATGGGTGAAATGAAAGAAGTCCTGCTACCAGTGTACGCATTCACAGGATGTGACACTGTGTCAGCAGTATTTAACAAAGGCAAGAACACACCCTTTAGAAAGGTGCAGGCTAACAAGGCTCTCAAATCAAAACTCCTTGTTTTTAATGATCCGAATGCAGACCAAGATGAAATTGCTGATGCTGGAGAAAAATTTTTTGTAGCAGTATTTGGAGGAAAGATTACTGGAGGGTTGGATGCTCTTCGCTACCAGTGCTACTTACAAGCTATATCAAAGCAGCCTTTGCATTCAATGATCAAGTTAGCTGCTCTTCCTCCCACTTCAGCAGCTGCTAGGCAGCACACATTCAGAGTGTACCACCAGGTGCAGCAGTGGCTAGGGGTCAATAAGAGTCCCCTTGATTGGGGTTGGAAGAAGGTTGGGGAACATCTTAGACCTCATACCACAGAGAGCCCCGCAGCTCCTCCTGAGCTACTATCCCTAGTCATATGCTCATGTAAGGATGAATGTGTGCGCAAATGCGAGTGCAGACAAAGCGGACTGAAATGTTCGAATATGTGCGGCAACTGCTCAGGTTTAGGGTGTGATAACCGAGATATAATCACTAACGAGGATGCAGCGGAAGAGATTGATATGTTCGGAGAGGACTGAAAAGGAAATTAAAATAGGATGAACTGAACTGGATGTATGTACTTACCTGGACACGAAACTTTTACTTAATATAACTTAAATACCTGAAAAGACAACCCGACCTTGCTAGATACAAAAAAACAGTGAACATTCTACCATTCAATTTCTTGTGTATTTTATCATAAGATATTAAGTAAATATCTGTGTTAAAAATAAATAAACAAAATAATTTTATCAAACCTGATGAAAGTATGATATTATTTATTCGTTCAAACTTATTTATACGGGAGGTCTTTTGAACAATTTAGCACTCATTAGAAACTTTTTTTATGGGTGTCCATGGTTTTCCTCCTATTAAAAAACTATTTTTTTAGAATTATAAGAAAAATTCACATTTGCCCCCCAATATCTCCTGAACCGTTTATAGTAGATAGGTATTGTATGGTATATTTTTTTACACAATTTAATGTAGATTATTTTTGTAATTCATTATATTTTGAAAAAAACGCACCGTTTTTTAGTTATTTGCAAAAAAGTCAAATAAGTCCTATTTCCACCACATTTTCACCCCCTCCCCCCCCCCAAACCCGACACTCAAATCAGTGTAACTTTTTTACAAATGTTAAGGGAGGTCTGTTGAACAATTTAGCACTCATTAGAAACTTTTTTTATGGGTGTCCATGGTTTTCCTACATTTAAACCCTACTTTTTTTTAGAATTTTTAGAAAAATTAACATTTGTCCCCCAATATCTCCTGAACCGTTTATAGTAGATAGGTGTTGTATGGTATCATTTTGTACAAAATTTAATGTAGATTATTTATGTAATTCATTATATTTTGAGAAAAACGCACCGTTTTTGAGTTATTTGCAAAAATGTAAAAAAAGTCCTATTTTCACCCCATTTTCACCCCCTCCCCCCCAAACCCGACACTCAAATCAGTGTAACTTTTTTTTACATATTGAGGGAAGTGTATTCAACAATTTGGCGCTGGTTTGAAACTTTTTTTTTGGATGTCCCGGTTTGCCCTTTTTCTAAGCTAATTGCACTGTACTATGAAAGCTACCTGTGTTTCTTATATTTTCCCCTAATAAGTAATATTATTACAGCCAACAGCCAACAGCACAGCATTGAATGCATTTTGAAGACAGGTTAACTATTTACTACAATCCAACCAACAAGTTTACTTGTACACGGTGCACACTGCACGACTTAATGTCTTCATAATTAAATACGGTCAGTGGCGTAGCCAAGGGGGGGTTTTGGGGGTTACAACCCCCCCCCCTTGGGTGTCCCTATATATATATTTTACTGTTGAAGTAAATATGTTTTCGTAGTATACTTTTATGCTAACCAGTAAATAAAGAAAGTACCAAACAATTTACCTAGTCTTAGAAATATATTAAGTGTTTTACAACATTTTTCATGTCACGGCAAAAGGCGTACACTACGACTATATTCACCAAAAGCTTTGATGGTACGGGGGCGGGCATTGATTCTATCACATGTAGCCATGTAGTAAGAGCTGGACCACTACTAAAATAGTGGTTCCAGGTTCCACTTCCACCAGTTCTACTCGCTCCCCGTTCCCACTGTGGATTCGCTAGCCGTCATTTTGCGCGGGGGAGTGTCACTGTCACTGTCAGTTAGTCACATCATAGATAAAAGGAGTATAGACAAAGGATAAAAGGAGTATATGTCTATACTCCTTTTATCTATGTCTATACTCCTTTTATCTATGGTCACATAGACACTAGACATATCACTGATGCCCTTACTGCGTGCGTTGTAAAACAATTGACCGTGATTTGAGGTTGTGAACTTTTAGATAAATTACGTATCGATTATTGGGTGCTGAAATATTACGTTATCTCATCATTATCCTTGTGATTAATTACATTTACATAGCCTATCTGAAGTTGAATTAACTAAGATAGTCCTGAAGAATGAGTGATGATAATTGTAAGCGGCCTGGAAAGAAACTGAAGTTAGGCCAAAGTTAGCAAAATGAAAAGCAGGCAAAACTATTAAGAAACTATTTTAGTTACATTTTTAATATTCTTCTGTAAAACGGTAACAAATTTAAATTCATGTTTAAACACCTTAATCAAATAGGTTAAATACCTATAATAAAAACTCAATTAAAAATCAATTTATGTTTTAAAAATTAATATGTCTAGATTGCATAAAAACGCTAGTTTACAATAATAAAATAAAATGACATAGGATAATTTTGAACTAGGTAAGTGATAATCTACTAAGGCAATAATAATAAAAAAATGAAAAAAATAGAAAAAAGTCCTCCCATCCTCCCCTTACTTTTTCCATTTTTTTCCTTTTTAAACATTTATTTAGACAAAAAATACAAAAACAAATATAATTAATTTGTTTTTTAATTGTCCTTGGAGCGGGAAATTTCCCCCTCAGTTCAGGTTGACAAGTATCATAAACCAAATAAAACAGGTATTAATTATTTAAACAAATTGTTAATTTTAAATAGCATAACAATATGTAAACATACAAATATGTATAAAGTCACAGGTCTTAAATACAGAATCAAATGTACAAAGACAAGAATATAAATCTATGTTCATTTTGGTTTATGTTACTAATCCTACCCCTCTTCATTGGGGGCATTTCATGAGTTTTAAAAGTTTTACGAGCTTCATCAAAATTGATCAATAAAAACCTGATTGCCCTAAAAAATAAAAAAAAATAACCAAAATCCCCAAAAAAATAAAAAAATAACCAAATTCCAAAAAAAATAACAAAAAATAACCAAGAGCAAAAAAAATAACAAAAAAATAAAAAAAATAACCTGTTACAAGCCCTGTAATTATGAAATATTTCCAGATCTGCTCTTAATTCTGCAATGAATGGTTTCAAGTTCCTTTTTTGGTTGATGAGATGCACCAACGATGCTCTGTTGGAGAGATCATCCATTACATTCATTAGGTACCATATAGCAGCTATGGCAGCAGCCTCTTCTTCGCTTTCTGCATCCATTCTCACAAAATGTGTAGTACAAAGTGTCACAAAATGTACAAACAACCTCACAACACACAGTATCTCATCACTTTACTGAAACCATGGGATCGACCATGTGAAAGTCGCCTTGCCGTGCCGTGCCGTATGCATCTCAAATCTCCATCGGGCACGGCAAGGCGAGGCAAAGACGTCTCGCCTCGCCTTGCCGTGCCGTGCTGTATCAGGTGTGCGGCCGGCCTAATTCTCCGCCTAAAAATTCTATAAAATGGTGGTACAGACAGTTCGAACAACTGGGAAGTGTCCACAATATAGTATAAAGGGTCCTTATCTCAGAAGGACATAATTTACAATAACAGTTAAAGTGATTTTTACAGTCTTTATAACAACTTTTCATAATTGCTGACATTTTTATAATACATTTTTTGAAATTACTGTATAAAACTGTCTTAAATTTGCTATTTAATTAAACGATTCCCATGTTTCTATGTAGCTTGGTTATTTATTTATTTAATCTTAAAATGTGTACAATAATTTATGACCACCCTGTATATAAAAATTTGAGCAAATGGTGTTTTTGGCCTCTGGGGACATCAAAATGGAAAAGTAAATCGGTCCCGGGCCTAGGTCTTACCACCTACAGTAATAGCTACTTCCCTGTAGGGAAATTCGCTAAAAATGCAAATACTTTTGATAGAAAGGTTGGAACAAGTAAGTGTTTTTAACACTGACGAACGAGACAATGAGGAACCGGGAAGCAGTGAACAATCTACATTGTTGACTCCACCAGCCCACAGGATTAGTCCAGATTTACAGTCCACTGATACAACTTGACCTTGAACTACATGTGTCTTGTAGCTGATACAATACCTACACCTAAAAAGATCTCTTAAATAGTCAAACCTTTGTGATCGAGGCAGTTTGGAACCGCCATTACGCTTTTCAAGTTCTTTGATCTTCCGACTGTGGGTCTTACACAAGTTCTTCAGTTTACGTATTTCCTTGTTGCTCTTCTGTATTTCCTTGTTGCTCTTCTGAAGTTGTTGTTGCAAGGAGTTTACAGATGAGCTGAGAATTCTGTAATGTTCACTGTCAGCTCGTAGACCTACAGTGACGTCACACATCTGCTCCTGGTCCTCAGACTCCAGCTCATTTCTCTATAAAGTTAAGGTTTAAATTTATCAGAGTAATTTGATGGAATTGTTATCTAACTTGGCAACTATGCTAAAAGACCGAATGAGTCTAAATTGAAACTGCTAACAAACATACTGGCTAGGACAATGAACGTCAAACTATTTAGCCAGTTAGCTATTATATCATTTATAAAATCTTCTGGTGAGCTAATAAAAAAAAAGAAAAAAAAACTGAGCCAAAAAAGTACGCAAAATGAAATTATTTATTGGCCTAGACTTATGGAACTGTCCCGTGCAGCAGCCGCTTGCCCCGATATTAGGCTTCCATGCCCGATAGTAATGGTTCCGTTTTTAATAAACACAATGTTCTCTACAGCGCTGGTGTATTTATAGTTCGTCTGGATGCTGCTAGATAGTGTGGGTAGTATTGTCAGACATGATGCTTAGTTTGTTAAAAATATTGCGTAAATTACATTTAAAAAATTTTAAATATGGACAGACCTGTGCATTTGATGCGCTTGCAGAACTTAGTCGGTGGTGTTTTTAAAGCTTTTTAAAGCTAAAATAACTATAATATATACATTTTTTTATTGGTTTTGTTTTCAAAGAAGTGGCATTTACTGTTGTCGTGGTGTCAGCAATGGCAAAGATTAACATTACCGTCTATAAAACATTTATTTGTTTTGTACGATTGTTTCCTGGTACTTTGTGTGAGTGACGTTTTATTGTTTCACTATGTCATGTTTTGTTTGGTTACTGTATTATTTTATTTAAATGGAACAAGACATTAGGCGTTCTGAAATAGATCTAATGCTTTTAGAAAGTGATTACGAAGACGACTTCATTCCACATGAGTACCGGGACAATGACATTGATCTTGATAATGACGAAACTGAATTTGAAAACGAAGAAATTGATGTTAGTGATAGGCAAATTAATGGTTCTGTTCAAGAACCAGGTTATATGGATGTTGATCAAGTAGGTCATGAACTCATTGCTATTGATGAAAACACACTTTTGTGTGGGGTGATTGTAGTCCTAGTGTATAAATCACAAATAACCCCAACCAGAATTTACGATCAGATTTTCAAGAAAAGCCTAGTTGTTTATTTCACAACCAAGCCGAGGTGATTGGTGAAATAAGTAAGCCTCATCCACCACAAAAGTGAATAATAAAAAAAACCTCGAAGACCAAGCCGCGTATGCTTGCGTCCAAACCCGCTTTTAAAAAACCAAAATTCCAAGATGGTGATTGGCCTTGGCTTGATGTGGAAAACTCACCATTGAATATCTATTATAAGTATTTGTCATTTGATTAAAAGGAACACCTGGTTTATGTACCTCTTGTAGCCTAGGACTGAACCCAAATGAAATGGACTGTATGGGGGCATTTCTCTGCCAGGAGTTCTGGGTTAGGATATGGTGTGTACAGAGACTAATAATGAACACACAAAAACAATCGTTGAATGAAAGCTGAAAGTCTCTGAAATCAGATGAAAAGTGGCGAGAAGTAGGCTCAGATGAGCTGAAAGCATATATAGCTTTATATATCCTTAAGGGGCAGGTAAAAAAAAACTCTCAATACAATCTTACTGGTCTCATAGGGCAATTATTGAGACACCAATATTTTTTGAGACAATGTAAATGGTGGTCCAGCAGCTGACTACATACTTTAGTGTGCAAACTTGCGTATACTCAATATTCTCGCATAACCTTTTAGTTTAATGTCTAGGGAGTTTAAAAAACCTAGGTGTTTCCCTTCTACCCCCCACATTTTCCGGCTATGACGTCATCAATATGGCGGCAAAGGATTTCTTTCAAAGTATATATTTCGCATACTATTTGTCGGATCGGGATGATCTTTTTTTGTTTGAAAGATAAGTTTACATGTTATCTTTCATACACCCATAATAACAAAACACACTAAACATTTGTTGTATGTTTAGTACATTTTTTGTAACTTAGCAAAAACCCTTGTTTTTAAATATTTTTGTGTTATTTTTGTTAATAACATTTTATTGATACAATATATCAGAAAAAATCTATGGAAAAGGTTGTAGAACGTTTAAAGAGCTTTACAAAAATACCACATTCGATATGCTTTACTCAAAAGCTTAAGTCAAGAAACTAGATCAATCTCACAAAAACACCTAATTTGGTGCAAAAACGCCTACTAGTCCGACATCTAGGGCTGTGTGCAAGTCATATAAAGTTTTACCATTTAATGTTGGTGTATCAATTATCAATTATTTAAGATGGGGACGCCACTATGTGCGTATTTTAACCCGAAGGATCAGTGGCGCGATCTAAGTGTCTAAGTACCGTGATGTAGGTGTCTAAAGAAGTGTTTTTATCTTGGGTGTCACGTCTGCCCCTACTGCATTTCCCGGTTATGACGTCATCAAAATGGCAGACAGGGCTATATTAAAAATACCTGTATTTTACATACCATGTATCGGATTGGGAAAAACTTTTTTTGTTTGAAAGATAAGTTTACGTGCTATCTTTCTTACATTGACAAATTTTTCGCATGTTTGTTTAGTAAATTTTTTGTAATTTTGCAAAAACTTGTATTTTTAAATATTTTTGTGTTAAACCTTTTATTTTTTTATACATAGCCTGCATACAATTAGTTTCCCAACGTGTATTACCTAGTAGTGATAATGAAGTTAATAATGGTATTATTGTCTAACTAAACTATATGTAAGGATTTTTTGAGAGGATAGCAGGCTTACCTGAATGGGAAAGAGTCCAAACTGGCACAGGAACACAAAACATTACACTATATACAGAAAACATTAGAATATTTCACTGTCACTGACAGCATTTTCAACTAAGGAAGAGAGAGTTTTCTAGATGTCCAAAATGGTGGGTGAGTTGTTGAGTCAGTGTTGCCAATAGTATGAATTCAAAAAACACAGTTTCAGTTTATCTTATATGCACTATATATATATGAATAAATATGTAAGCCTGCTAGTTGGGTTGGATGTTGAAGTGGAGTGGGTTAGATGAAAGGTATTATCTTAGGTTTATGTTTGGGGGTTGTCTAGACTTAGTAAAACCAAACCTAAATATAAACCTAAGATAATAAATCAAATCAAATCAAATCAATTTATTGTTGTAGACATTTCACAATGTTTTAACAATCGTCATAAAATACATAAATTAATACAGCATATTAATACTTAGATGTAATAAATCAATATAATAAGTTCTAGTATTAAAAAATTTATAAATATATAAATACAGGCACAATTAAATAGAAATATTTTGACATGTAAAAAAATCCTCCACTGTATACGGGCATTTTTGTATTAAATATGTTTTCAATTTTGATTTGAAAGTGTTCAAGGACAACCACCTTTCATCTAACCCAATCCACTTCAACATCCAACCCAACTAGCAGGCTTACATATTTATTCATATATATATATAGTGCATATATGATAAACTGAAACTGTGTTTTTTGAATTCATACTATTGGCAACACTGACTCAACAACTCACCCACCATTTTGGACATCTAGAAAACTCTCTCTTCCTTAGTTGAAAATGCTGTCAGTGACAGTGAAATATTCTAATGTTTTCTGTATATAGTGTAATGTTTTGTGTTCCTGTGCCAGTTTGGACTCTTTCCCATTCAGGTAAGCCTGCTATCCTCTCAAAAAATCCTAAAAAATCTAGGCCCTTGTGCTCTATGCTACACCCTTAAACTATATGTAAATGCAATTGGTTTTAATTGGTTTAATAGATAGGTTTCAAACTCTTAGCTTGAGTTTTTTAAAATTACCTTATGTTTAGCTTGCTCCAATGACTTTTCAAGATCAGCTTTCTCCTTGAGGGGGTTCGCTTCAAATTTCTTAACTAAAGCAGTGATTTTTTTACTTTTTTTTCTTTTATTGGTCTTAGAGGATTGGTGAATAGAAGCTCCAGGTTTGTCCGGAGCAAGGCGAGTTCGTGGTGAAATTGTAATTCTACTGCTACCTATAAGCAGATGAAAAAATGAAGATTTATTATTATTATTTATTATTGTAGATTTATTTATGTACATAAAAATGCAGTTACTCGTTATTTTGGATAATTTTGGATAATTTTGTCTTTAGTTGCTAGCTTTCGATTATGATTTGAAACATGTGTCAGGCAAGAAGTTTTTTGTACCAGACACTCTCTCCAGAGTGGAAGGTTTAAATATTATTAATGATGTAGAAATATCAGCTTGTGAAGTTTTGGAAGAAGAAATAACAAGTGTTAAGGAAAACTTACCCGTAACTGATGTTCTTCATAGAGAAATTGAAAAAACGTCGGAGTGTGATTTGACTATAAAAATGATCAAACATGCCATTGAAAATGGCTGGGTTTCTAATGGTAGAATAGATCCAAAATTAACTCCCTACTACAAGTTCCGTGACTCTTTATCATGGAATAATGGTTTACTCATGATGGCGAACAGAATAGTTATTCCTCAATGGTTAAGGCCAATGATTTTAAACAAACTTCATTCTGGCCACTTAGGAGTTACAAAATGTCGACGTCTTGCACAAGACACTGTTTGTGGCCTGGGATATCCAACGATGTCAAACAAAAAGTGATGGATTGTTATACATGCATGCTCCACAGGAATCAACGAAAGGAACCCTTGATTAATACTCCATTTCCTGATCTCCCTTGGTCCCTAGTCGGATGTGACTTCGCCAAAGTCAAGGGTCAATTGTTTTTTGTGATACAGGACTACTACTCAAGGTATTTGGATGTGATACCAACAAAGTCGACTGCTGCAGTACCCACAATCAAAATACTGAAAAGGATCTTTTCACAATTTGGTATTCCACACACACTTCGGTGTGATAATGGTTCCCCATTTGATTGCGAAGATTTTAAGAACTTTGGAAGAGATTGGGGTTTTACTATAACAACTAGTAGTCCTAACTATCCACAGTCCAATGGTCTGGCCGAGTCAGCAGTAGCAACTGCTAAGAAGATTATTCTCAAGTGCAAAGACATACATGAGGGCCTGTTGGCTTTCCGCTCAACACCTTTAGAGAATGGTTACTCTCCTTCAGAGTTGCTTATGAACAGGAAGGTAAGAGGGACTGTGCCCATTGCTCCTGTCAACCTTGTCCCAAAAACACCCGGTCTCAAAACACTGAGATCCAAAGAAGAACAGATAAGAAGTAAAAGGAAAATCTGGTTCGATAAGAGGCATGCAACGAGAGAAAGAGAAGAGCTACAAGATGGACAAATGGTTTATGTCAGGGACAAGCAAGTAAAAGGAAGAATCATCCGTAAGCACGAACAGCCCAGGTCCTACATAGTGGAAACGGAAAATGGGGGAAGATTAAGAAGAAACCGAGTTCATTTATCGAATCTTAAAGATGAATTTCACTAGACCAACCCCAGACGCTCGACTTGTGAGAGGAGGATGTGCTGGTCTCTTCTTCTGTCTTAATATAAATCATATGATTATATAAGACCTGATGTTGGGGTTTGTTGGTAAACAAAGATTATTGTAGTTTACTGAAATCTTTGTTAATGTCATCAAATTTCATCATAACAATTTATATTTGTTTGGACCAATGATGACCCGAAATGACGGCTTACTATATAAAATGAAGTACTATAGACGATTTAGATTGGTAATTTATAATAAAAATTACTAAAATAGGCCACGAACTATTGATGCAAACAACGTAAAGCGTTTAAACAATTCATGATTGTTTGCTGAATAAATGTTTTACTAAAATGCGTTATCGTTTTCTTAGCATAAACTAACATTTTGGAATCAAGAAATAAAAAGCAAAAATTGTACAGTTAAGACATCAATTAAATTGAATACGCCTGTAATAATAAATAAGGTGCAACACCAACGATAAAAAATTTGTAAAGTACAGTGATGTGTTGGTACTTAAAAATGATTCTTGCTGCTACCAACAGTACCAACGGTTCTAAGGAATAGAACCGGTACCAAAAACCAACGTTCACAGTTGAGAACTATAGTACAGCCGACTAATGAAATGAGTTAATCAAGTCCAGAGGTTATTGATCTCTTGGTTTTGGATTTTCTCGTAAAATGTTTTAAAACGGCAATCAAAGCTATTTCCCATTAATTACTTTATTTGTAAACAACTTTTAATGTAAACTTATCGGTGTCAGTTTGAGAAAAAAAAACAACCTCATACAAACAACTTTTTGTTATTTAATAGATTACGTATTCTCTAAACAATGATTGGTAAAGGCTATCTATTAACATTAGAAGGAAATGTGACAAAAATCACACAACGTTGGGTTTTTGGACGTTTGTAATTTTATTTCTTAAGTAGGTAGGCCATGTATTCCATGGAAAAGTACCGGTATCAAGGATCGTCATCGAAAAGGTTGTTATGAATAAATTGGTAGGCGTACGTACCCAAGAGATGGGCTATGGGCCTATTGGCTGTATGGTCCAGCGATTGCATCACACGGTGAGTAGGTACTATTGACTATATATATATATATATATATATAGTCAATGGTAGGAACAGAAAATAACACATTAGAAAAGCGAGTTTAGCATCATCCGTAAACCTATGTTACAATCACCCACTGCAGTTGTGATTTTTTACTTTACACTTTACACAACCGCCATTGTAGCGCCGTCAATGAGTGGAAACCATGTTTCTAAGATTGGCGACGATCATTATTAAATTTAAGTTTCCCAGCCGTATACAACACTGATTCAAGGTCTTCTTTCTGGTTATCAAAACTCAAGAACAATTTATACACAAAGAATCTCTGGTTCCTGAACTGGATGATGCCTAGTTATTTAATTTCATTTACGGTTACACTATTACACTATGTTATTGCACTTTCGATTAATTAAATCCGTTATGTAAGAAAAACGTTTTTAATCTCACTTGGTTGGGATTTGCATTTAAAAAAGTGATTGAAAAAGGTTGCGGTATTTGTAAACAACATTTGTAAACAACATTTGTAAACATATCAGTGACAGCTAGGAAAAATAATCCGAACAGCCGTTAGTTATTTCATGGATGATTATGCAATAAAAATTGGACGAAAACTTGACATAAATCGCACAAAACTACATTTTTGAACGTTCGTAATATTATTTACAAAGTAGTGAGGCCATATTTTAATGGCTAAAGACAATCTCTATATTGCTAACTTGTAAAGATAAAGTAGTAAAGAAAAATTATTAAGGTATAGATGTATTAAAACATTGTCTACCACCGCCACACTCCTCTGTATGAAGGGCTTTGTGAGACATGGTAGTGAATGTGTTTTAACATTAATTGATAGTAATTGTACTGCCCTGTACTTGCCAATTTGAAATTAAAATTTCTAGCTGTTAGGAGAAAATATTGAACTACATTTACTTGGCTCAGGAAACATGTTACGAGAGTGTGACAATACATTGTTATTCCTTACTGCAAAAATATTTGCCAAACATTTTTGTAAAAACATTTTGTGTATTTGTTTGTATTTGGGCTTACATTGTTGTTGCTTACAGTGCAATCCAAGCTCCTTGAGAACTCCAGCTGTTGCGCTTTCCTGATTAATTAGAGATGAAACAGAAGGAAAGGTTGATAATATTTCACTTGTTCCCTGTGAACAAAAAAAGTAAAGCCTTTGAATCTATATCCATTCATAAGGGGGAAAATCAAGAAAACGTAAGCCTTGAATAAGAGGTTTAGATGGGATCCTAACAAAAATATTGGTTTTTGGTACAGTAGTCGCAGCTAGTCTGGGCGCGCGGCCGCGGTAGGGCGGAGGGTGTAGAGGGGAGTGTTTATTGCTTATTTCCAAAAACATCTGGCCCACACGGTAAAGCCGTCAGTGCAGCGGCTGAGGGTTGTGGGCTGTGGGGGTGAGTGAGCCGTAATTCTCAAGACGGTTAGTACACTAGGGTCCGCGCGCCCAGAGTAAATGCGACTGTAAACACTCTCACTATTTTTTTGTTGTGCAAACCAATGTTTTTCTTTATTTTTTATTTTAAATCTTCATTTATTTAATCCTGTATTTCCGGGGTAAAGAAGTGGCAAAAGTTTAACCTTAAGTTAATAACTTTCTGGACAGCTCTTGTGTATTGTAGAACTAGCAGAATACCTGTCCTTTGTACGGGGTTGGCATATAAGTACAAAATGATCATTGCAAAGGTTATGTTTTTAGGAAAAAGCATTTAGCTTGGATTAAATAAATATATAGGATGGAGAGGACACAGCTAACTCACCTGATGAAAGGTTGCAGAAGAGTCAAAGAACACATAAAATTACACACATAATAATACTTAATATTTCGCCTCTTTCAGAGGCTTCTTCAGAAGTAGGCCTAGATGGTAGTTACAAGAACAACAGTTTAAAATAGGATGACACAGTTTGAATTCAAAATGTCTGACAGGTTGTCCAACTGACACTACACAAAGCACTAAATACAGGCACATTGCAATATTGTATTTACATATAATATGTATATTGAAAAGCAAATTAGTTTTGTCCATGGAAATAAATACTTAAGAGTTAGCTGTGAGGGTGAGGATATAGGATATTATCTAATGTTGAGGTTAGGTGGGGTTCTGGAGTTGGTCACAAACTGGTAAGCTAATTCCCATCTTCTGAGCATTGAACTATTGCATTGGTTCTTTGGCAATGATTTTAGAGCTTTTATGGTGAAACAGTCATCAAATAGAAGTTGGTGGGATAAGGTATGTTGTGCAACTGGTTTTTCTTTGCTAGTGTTAACATCATGTCGATGGCCGTTCATGCGTTTTCGGAGAGTCTCGGTTGTTAGGCCTATGTACTGGGCTGGACAATGTGAACATTGAAGCTGGTAGATAAGGTTCTCTGAGCTGCAGGTATGATGGCCTTGGATTCTGTAATTTTTGTTATGGTGTGTGCTGGTAAAAGATTCTGTAGGATGGTGTATCTGGCAAGATTTACATCGGTTTTCATTGCATGGGTATGAGCCCGGTCTTGGTTTCTCAGATGGTATTTTTGATGGATTTGGGAGTTTTGGGTGGACTAGCATATTCCTCAAATTTGGGGGTTGCCTATAGATTATGGAAGGGGCTCTTGAAAGGAGGTTTTTGGTTTGGCTGGAGGACTCTAGGATTTTGAAACCTGTTTTGAGGAGGTTGTTTAGTTGTTGCAGGCCAGGGTGGTAAGTGGTTATCAAATTTACTTGAAGATGGTTGGTATTTTTCTTTGTAGTAGGACGTGGGTTCTGAGCTGCTTGGATCTGAGATTTTACGAGAGTGCCAGGAGTGTTATAATATAGTTACAAGAAACTGTTGTTCTTGTAACTACCATCTAGGCCTACTTCTGAAGAAGCCTCTGAAAGAGGCGAAATATTAAGTATTATTATGTGTGTAATTTTATGTGTTCTTTGACTCTTCTGCAACCTTCATCAGGTGAGTTAGCTGTGTCCTCTCCATCCTATATATTTATTTAATCCAAAATGATCATTGCAGTGATTGAAGAGGAGACGGTTTAAGAAAATTTGGTCTTTTAATTTATACGGTATCCTATAGTGTAGCACAGATATACCATAGCCCTAATACTCAACCACTGCACTCTACCATTGAAAAAAGTAAAGTTTTCATTGTGTACCACAACTTTTTGTTGCTAGTTGGTTCAAATTAGGTGTTGTCATAAATGCAAAAACATATTAGGGCTGCACCCTGTTAGTAAGCCTTATAACGATTTAATGCTATGTAATATCATAGAACCAACTTGTGCAGTTGAAACGGCTGACAAAATTATTTAATTCCTTTAAATACTCATAAGGTTAACATGAGAAACTCCAGAGCCACTGGGGCGGAGCCCGGAAGGATTTTTTAGGTAAGAATATGTCTAGGGCCTATATGTTAATCGGGAATGTCAGCTATCATCATACCAAACGTCAACCTTGTCTGTTTAGTATTTTTGCGTTTACTTGTCACAGACATCCATCCACTCAATCTTTCTTACCGGTACTTATTAAATTAGTAGGATAAGTAAACTGTTGTAATATTGCTTGTTTATAGATATATATCTTTTACAAAATTGGAAATTTTTTTAATTTTATAAAAAGCTAATAATATTTTCCTAAACATCACACTTTGTTACCCTCACTGTAGCAGCAAACCTTGGTACTCGTTAAACCTAATGTTATTGAATTAGATTTTATTGAAAATAAAGTCACACAAATGGAAATTTGCTTAGGCTGCAGGTTTGCTGTGGCGAGGGTATTATGTTATTGTTATTTATTTAGAAAGAAGACTTTGTGGTAATACATGATTAACTCTAATTTATATAAGATAATAAATAAATAAATCCCGTTGGTCACAACAGGACAATGCGCCGGTCGCTTGTTATTTGAATGGCGCTACTGCAACCAGCACTACTATTCGTATTTGCTAGCAGCTATACCCGTGCCCTTGCAACAGGGTCAGTATGCAAAAGAGACAATGTTGGTTCTCTGAAAATGACAAACGGTTTCACTCCTACCGTTTAATTTAGAAGCGAAATTTAACTCTATTACTTAACTTTATAAAAGCACATTTTTGTTAACTCATACTGTGAATACTTATTTAGGCTACCAAGGATACAAAACCAATGATAGATTTTAAGGTACCTATAATAAAAGAATGTGTTTAATGGTTTGCACTGTAAACATCACAACAGTTCCAAACCTGTCAATAGGGTAATTTTCTAACATATTTTAGTGAAATTATAATCAGGCAAATGGGAATTTGCTCAGTCTATAGGTTTGCTGCGGCAGGGGGATTATATTACTGTTTAAAAACAAATAAATCAAAAGAATATACCTCATAACTCAGGATAAGGGCTAGGTTGATAAGGCAATATAGAATCTTAATTATTTCCTATATCCATGAATGATTTCTTTTACAATGAATTATTATAAAAATAAATAAATATTATTACAACATTTCACAAACATTATAACAGACTCAGTATAGTTAGATCAAACAAATGAAGTAACTAAAAGAATCCTATACTAACAAAATTACATTAACATATGGTTTGACAGCTCCTTTAAGTAATGTTAAATAATGTTTTCATTCGGGCTAGTGACATCATTATTTTAAATTTATAATCCTTACCCTCTCTGTTCTAATATTCGTGCAGTATTTAATATGTTTAAGCCAGCTGTGTGGAATTGTGAAATCAAAATTAATTTGACAGTTATTTAGTTAGTTCTGCTAGTTTACTTTTAAACTTTGTAGGTTTGTTCGTTGTTACCATGGATACCATCAATCAATATTTACTCTCTCACCTCAGATTTTTGAAAGCCCACGGGGCAAAGCCCTAGGTCAATATCAAAGCGGTAATAGTTCTATATGTATCCTCCATCCTCGGAGCTGTAGCTTCATTTGTGTGCAATTTGAGCATAATCGGTTCAGTAGTTTTTGAGATTAGCTCATACAAACACACACACAGACACCACCTCTTCTTTATAATAGTATAGATAACAATAGTAGGCCTAATCCTTATATACAGGGTGGTAATAAAGTCCGAAGACAGTTAAATATTTTAAAAAATAATGTAGATAGAGCTACAATACTTGGTACAAAGTTACAGACCATAAAACTTTATTTTAACACATATTCAGTGATCTAATAACTCTTCAGGTGGACGGCCCACAAGGAGTCAAAAGAAAATCTTAAATGGAAGCATAGGTCAATATGCACATCAAATGAAAGGTCTTTTTTAATAGAATACAATGCCGCAAACCGCACTTCAAAAGGTTGATCCTGCACAAAATGGCAGCCGTTCAAAGATTTCTTGAATCTGCCATTTTGAATCTTTGAACAACTGCCAATTTTTACTCAGGCGTTCTTTTGAGCTTGAATTTACGGCATTGTAATCTACTAGTGAAGACCTTTAATTTGATGTGTATATCGACCTATGCTTACTTTAACAATTTTCTTCCGATTCCTAGGTCTGTGCCCCCTGAGGAGTAAGCGTATAATAGCTATGCAAATTAAATGAATCTTTGAACAACTGTCATTCTTGGCTCGGTTGTCCGTTTAAGTTCAAATTTGCGGCATCATATTCTGCTAGTAAAGACCTTTGATTTGATGTAAATGTCAACCTATGCTTCTATTTAAGATTTCCTTCTGACTCCTTGCGGGACGTCCCCATGATGACAGAATATGTATATTTCCTGAAAAAAGTAGATTTTAAGGTGTGGTGTTGATGTACCAAATCTTATTAATTTATCTGTTGTCATTTAGAAAATATTTAACTGTCTTCGGACTTAATTACCACCCTGTATAATTCTGTAAGCCAAAATCTTTACCAGAAAATTGTGGACGTCTGGCAAGTCGCAGAAAAGTGGGAGGGGTCTTAAATTAAAGGTCTTGACCCCAGGGACTCGGGAAAAATAGCAGAATTCTCACAAAGTTACCATAAAACGAGATATAACGTAAAATGTTCTCCATAAGAATAGCATTACAAGCCATTTACTGCAGATTTTTGTTTACTTCAATACAGCTGATCGTGATTTATCACTAAGCCAGTAAGCAATACTACATTTAGATTACTCATTTGTCAATTCTGCAATAGGCTATATACAGTAGAACTCTGATTATCCAAATCAATAGGGACCAGACCCCATTCCGATAATCAAAAATTCGGATAATCGGAGTTTTAACGGGACTTCTAGGAATTTTTAAGAAAAATCCTCATTCTCGGTACTAAATGAACTTAATTAATCTATTATATTATTAAAGTGATACAATCAAATTTTATGTAAACGGTTAAGGCCATTTACCAAATAAAAATATAGGCATACGGCACATCAAAATGAAGCTTAGAGTGTGTAGATTTGCCGAAAAGTATTGATATGGACGAATTTCCTAAGGGCTCTGCCCCACAGGCTGATTTCCAAAGGGCTACGCCTGGCAAGTTTACATGATTTAATTTGATTTAGTTAATGAAACAGCTGGTCAGTACAATGAACTGGTGTTTGTTTATTTACTCGAATAAGATGTTTGTGACGCTTTATGTAGATTTAGGAGGGTTATGTTTGGTTTTAAAGAAATGTTGCATACGTTTTGTAAAGTATTGCTCAAAGTTTCATTTTGTAATTTATATAGTAGGCTCATGTAAAGAGGCTTGACTAAAGTTCAAGAGTTATGGTAAAACATGTCATTCGTGAAGCATCAATATGAAGCAATTGATGCTTTTGCTACACTAAGGCATGTTGTCCTATTCTTTTGGATGTATTAACATAAAAAGTAGGGGTTTGACAGTAAGTAGGTTTACACTTTTAAATCAGTTTCTACCGTTCCTACTAAATCATAGAGTTGCCGTATTTTAAAACAAACATCAGAATTACTTTAATAGCTCTCTAGGTCACATTTTCTTCCCGTTGCAAAGCACGGGTATAGCAGCTTGTAATAAATTAAATCAGAACATTTTTACAGTTTACAATGCTCATAGTACAAGTGTTTTATACATGTTATTAAGTTAATAGTGTTCCATCAAAGTCCAAAATTACACACTCTGGCTAAATGTGTTTAACAACAATTCTTTGATATTTTGCAAGACTTATATAGACCACTTAAGACGCCACAGAGAGCGGCAACTTGTATTTTTCAAGTGAAGAGACTGGACTCACTAAGTTGTAAATATAATTGTTTAATTTTTTGTTTTACGTTTGCCACGATTACTGGATAATGTGGCAACGTAGTTCCAAGTGAATGTATTATTTTGTATTTATTTGTTTTGAAGGAATAAACTCATTACAGTATTTCATTATTTCAAGTCCATGGTGCTATCGACTGAGCTACTGACTGAGCCACCTACCATCATTCATAAAAATTAAATGATATAAATAATTGATATAAATGATTGTTGGTCATCATTCTTTCCTACCTTTGTCACTGAGGCAAGAGGGGCTGCTAACACTTCATCAGCTTCACATTCCATAGAGTTTTCAAGTTTCTCTTGCGACTTATTTGCTAAATTTGATCTGAAATTGCATAATGACTTCAAACAAACATATGACATTGAAAAACACATATGGGCTAAAGGAAATAGAATGTATATAGTTTTTAATATATAAATATTTTCGTCTATTTTCATTTACTCTATGAGCAATATAATGGCTACTGTCATCATCAGAGATTACAAAGAATACAAGATTGGCAATCTGACAGGAATGACAAAGATCCGCCGGTGACAATCATATAGGTCGCTGGAGAAGCATCCTAGTTTTAAAATATACCCAAAATAAGAAGAGTTAAGTCCACTGCACTTGGGCAATATCCGCAAAAAAACATTATGCATCAAAATCATACCGCCCTATAAGATATTCCTAGTTTATTAAGAAGAATTTAATAAGACAATAGTAGGTGTTTGTATTTACAAAATTATAGTTAAATACTATCTGCAAAGACTACGGTACAGTAGTTCCTGTTTTATTACATGTTATAAAGTTCGCTTTAGCTGTTATTATTCTTATATTTACCACTTTGATGAATATTTGTAATAATCCAAATTTGTTTACCATTTAGAAGTAGGAATTTTTTTGTACAGTTAAAAGTTCACACTGATTCAAGAAAAGGATGCAAAAGACATTAGTATTCCAAGATATGCTGCGGACAAGCCTTTTTATAAAGTAATGCAACTTAGTATTGGAAAATTTATTGTAGGCTATAACCTGTGCTGTACCAAGTTAATAAACAAATAAAATAAAAATATAGAAAATTATTTGTTTTTTTTTAGCGAATTTCCCTATAGGAAAGTAGCTATTAGGCCTACCGTAGGTGGCATGGTAAGACCTAGGCCCGGGACCGATTTACTTTTTTATTTTGATGTCCCCAGAGGCCAAAAACACCATCCGTTCAAATTTTTATATATGTATATATAGCCTATACGGTATATATTATATAGATTTATATGTGTCCGTGAACACGATAACTTGAGCAATTTTTGTCCGATTTTGATGAAATTTGGTTTGAAGGTGTAAGGCGGGATAAACTTGAATGAGTTCGCGAACTAGCATGATCGAACCATGGGAACGGGGTTTTACAGGGGGTTTTATGGGGTAAAAATTGGTTTTTCTAGTTTTTGACCCTCTAAACAAAAAATTTCCCAATTTTTCTCCAGACCTTTTTAAAGAGCTTAAAAAAAAACAAATAATTTAGTATATCAAAGTGTTTTTGTACAGTTATTGGTTACGGAGAAAATTCAAAAAAATTTTATTTTAAAATGGCCATTTTATTCTTATGGAGAATATTGTAAAATGTTGTAGTTTGCTTGTTTACGGATATATTTTGATCAAACTGGGTAAATTTATTTATTTTAAACTGTTATTAATATTTTACTAAAAACAAACCCTTTTTTACCCTCCCTGTAGCAGCAGGCCTAGGTACTCATAAAACCTAATGTTAATTAAATACATTTAATTGAAAATCAATTCAGGCAAATGGAAATTCGCTTAGTCGGCAGGTTTGCTGCGGCGGGGGTATTTTTAGCGAATTTCCCATAGGGAATAAGCTATTACCTTAGTACTCATGGTAAGACCTGGACCTGGGACCGATTTACTTTTTTGTTTTGAGGTCCCTAGAGGCCAAAAACACCATCCGTTCAAATTCATATATATATATGTCCGTTAGCGCGATAACTCGAGCAAAAATGATCCGATTTTGATGAAATTTGGTATAAACGTGTAAACCTACATTTATTCGAACGAGTTTGCGAACCAGCATGATCGGACTATGAAAACAGGGTTTTATATGGGGTTTTATGGGGTAAAAATAGGTTTTTCTAATTTTTGACCCTAGAAACAAAAAAATTTACAATTTCTTTCCAAACCATATTGTAGAGCTTAAAAAAACAAATAATTTAGTATGTTGAAGCGTTGTTGTGCGCCTAATGGCTACGGAGAAAATTCCAACAACTTTTAAATTTAAAATTCCCATGTTATTCTTATGGAGAACTAGCTGAGTGCCCGTCCTTCGTACGGGGTTGGTATATAAGTTAAAATGCATATTGCAGTCATACTCAAGCTTTGGGTTTGCAATGGGAGAGCAGGACACATTTTGATAAAATTTGCTTCTTTAAAATTACGGTATACCATAGTATTTACTGGGAATTTTGGGAATTTCCATGTTTTAAGGGGACAAATTTTAAGAAAAATAAAAATTTTTCAACATTTAAATTTTCAGGGGGTAAGTGCAGTGGACATGTGCGCAAAGAGTTATGGATGAAAGGGGTAAGTGAAACTTTATGTGGATGAAGGGGGCAAGTGAAGCACAAAGAGTTATGGATGAAGGGGGTAAGTTAAACTTTACGTGGATGAAGGGGGCAAGTGAAGCACAAAGAGTTATGGATGAAGGGTGTAAGTGAAGCACACTGAGAGTATGGATGTAGGGTGTAAGTGAAGCTTATAGTGGATGTCTGGGGCAAGTGAAGCACACTGAGAGTATCGATGAAGGGTGTAAGTGAAGCTTTACGTGGATGGGGGGGCAAGTGAATCACACTGAGAGTATGGATGTAGGGTGTAAGTGAAGCTTTACGTGGATGTAGGGGGCAAGTGAAGCACACTGAGAGTGTGCATGTAGGGGGCAAGTTAAGCACACTGAGAGTATGGATGAAGGGGGTAAGTGAAGCTTTATGTGGATGAAGGGGGCAAGTGAAGCACAACGAGTTATGGATGAAGGGTGTAAGTGAAGCTTTACGTGGATGTAGGGGGCAAGTGAAGCACACTGAGAGTATGGATGAAGGGTGTAAGTGAAGCTTTACGTCAATGTAGGGGGCAAGTGAAGCACACTGAGAGTATGGATGTAGGGTGTAAGTGAAGCTTAAAGTGGATGAAGGGGGCAAGTGAAGCACTTACCACCTTTATACGCTCCATTTGGGTGCTTTTCTTGTACTTAACCCCTAAGTTAAAAAATAACTCAGCTGTTATTATTATACTTAGTACTATGGGAGTCAGTGTACTAAATAGAGCATCACTTACACCCTTTATCCATGCATCTAACTCAATTTTTATAAAATTGTTACTTGCCCCCTTCATCCACTCAACCCTTAAATTTTACTCCCCTCCCCCTTTAAGGGTAGGTAGATAGGGAGCAACTTAAGATTTTTAAATGTAAAGACCCATGTTGTGACCCCTCATTTTAAAGGTCTTAGTAGAATACAATGCCGCAAATTTATACTCAAACAGATAACCGAGTCGAAAATGGCAGCCGTTCAAAGATATCTTGAATCTGCCATTTTGAATCTTTGAACAGCTGCCATTTTTTACTCAGTTGTTCTTTTGAGCTCAAATTAGTGGCATTGTATTCTACTAATTAAGACATTTAATTTGATATGTGCATATTGACCTATCTATATGTTTATGATTTTAACCCTCCAAGTGTCCATAGTGAAAATTGTAGTGTTATTTAATGTTGGCCCATTTATTGCGCAATGGCAGGGTTTTATTAAAATGTATCTTAGAAACTTAAAAACACTCTAAAGTACACTGTTTTATATATAATTTTGTTTGGAAAATTATGGGCTTCAATGTAATATATAAAACATGAAAAAAATGGTCAACAATTTTTGTGGGGTTAACATTTCTCAAAAATTATAAAATAAATGAAAAACATGTATGTTTGCGCTCAATACATTTATATAGTTTATGGGTCTACAAATATTTTAAAATAGCCACTTTGTTCTAAATTTTATAAGGATTCCAAAAATATAATAATATAAGTAAGTAAATTTGCAAATAAATAAGTTACCGTATGTGGAAAACAGATTTTGTACATTTAGCGTTAGCTAAGAATGCATATAGCCTAACCATAGCTAGGAATCTGGCGGATAATTTACATCAATATCACTACATACTGCTTCAGTAGGCTTATCAACCAGCCCTTCAGAATCACTTAAATCTTCTTATAATGCACAACGTATATCACTACTTTTTATTTTTAACACTAAAACAATGATAAACGTAATAAAACGTAATAATATCAGTCAACGATGTGAGGTTAACCAAGTTGTTTACAAATATGCACGTCATCTGTCTGCTACAATATGATTGGAACTAAAATTAAAAGCGTCTAGAAACAGACATCAGGAGAAAGCTTAGAATCTGCCGAAAACAACAATACCAATCTCGATCCAGTTCAATCTGATTCAGTCAGTCCCAGAGCCTTCGCCATAAACGATGTTTGTGAGTCGCAAAAGCGACGCATAACACCACAGTGCGACGCTTAACACTCGGAGGGTTAAAATTATGATTTTTTAAATCATAATTACGAATTATGAATATGTCATACTTATTTGTAAGAATAATAAACAATAATAAATAGTAGGCCTACTTACATATGTCTGAGTTTTTTTCTTTTGAGCGATCGTTTTAACACTACTGGTGTGTACGGTGACGTCAGTTTTTTTACACTGTGCGTCACCTTGGCTTGAAAAGGAATCTGAAAAAAGAAACCTTTTGAAGGAATGTTGAGATAAATAATTTTAACATTATTCATTTAAAATTATTATATATATATATATTTTGTTTGTATTATCAACTCTTTTGTTGCCTTTGAGTTTAGAAAAAAAGAAGTTTTTTTCTATCAAGAAGGTCTTTGAGTTGTATAGAAAGAGAGAAGTAAAATGGCCGTGGTAATGAGAGGTTGAGTAGTTGTTTTGCTGTGTAAATTGTAACATTAAAAAAGTGTGTTTTCAATAAATAAGATATTTGGGAAATGTATTGTGTTATTAAAAAGCCCAGCACAGACTAAAAATTCACAGGTCATGGGCCCAGGTACGCCTGCAGAAGCAGAAAAGTAAAAACGTACCGGTAAAATCAGAAACATGGCAGCAAGTGGAAATTACGACAATGTGGAAAAGTTGAGTGACTCTGAGTCGTACAAATATTGGAAATTTCAGACAACAGTACTATTCAAAGCCCAAGGTAATTATGATATTGTTGAAGGTAAATCTTGTAATCTAGGTTGAAGGTAGGTCTTGCTTTGCTGTTAACGTGCCACGCACGGGCGCTTAGTCTATGTGGACGGGCAAATGCAAGGTTAAAAGAGGCCGCCAACCTCTTTTTTTTAAAAAGAAAAAAAAAATATGAATATGACACAATTACAGACGAAAAGGAAAGAAAAGAATGGTTAAGAAAAGATGCCCTAGCTTAGAAAATAACAGTCACCTCAGTAGACAAACACTATTTAGTTCATATTTTAAATGAAACAACATCTCATGGAATGTATAGTAAATTATGTAGCTTGTTTGACAGAGAGACCGGACAACAAAAATGTTCTCTATTGCAAGAATTGTTTAATTACAAATATGATGTTGGCCAAAGTATGACCCATTTTTTGTCTAACCTACAGAACATGGCTTTTAAATTAAAATCCTTGAATCAAAATATTGATGATGATATGCTAATATCAAAGATCCTTTCATCATTACCAGAGCAGTTTAAGCATTTCTTAACTGCTTGGGACTCCACTTCAAAAGATGAAAAATCCCTAACTAACCTAACAACTAGGTTATTAGCTGAAGAATCACGGTTTAAAACTGATAGTGGTCATATGTCATATGTCATAGTGGTGATATGTCATTGGCTTTTAAAACTGGAACAGAAAAATTTCCAAGGTTAAATAGAGGTGGTAATAATGATAGGCCTAGTACCAGTAGGCCTAGTAGCTACCAGCAACCTAAGTCAAGTTACCGACCTGGAGCAAACTTAAATTTCAATCAGCGATCAAACACTGGAAATGTAAATAGTCTTAATGTAGGTAATCGCAAATGCTTTATTTGTGAGAAAGTAGGACACTTTGCAAACTCATGTCCTAACAAAAGTAAGAATCAGAGTACTGGTAGAAGATTATTTTGTAAAATATGCAAGAAAACAAACCATGAGGACAAAGACTGTTATTTTAGATCAACTAATAAATTTTCAAATGACAAAAGTAAATTGTCGTTCTTAACCTACTCAGATTTTAATAAATCGAAACATGTAACTCAGTTTGTAGTTGACTCAGGATGTACAACCCATATGACAAATGACAAAACATTGTTTTCTTCACTAGAATTTAAGCAGTCAGATGTACATGTTGCTAAAAATAATGAAACAATGACAGCAATAGGAGAAGGTAAAGTTGAAGGGAGAGAGTTTGATTTGAATAAAGTTTTGTTTGTTCCTGATTTAAGCACCAACTTATTTTCTGTAAAGGCGGTCACTGATAATGAAGGAGAAGTGACATTTACCAAGGACAGGGTAGTAATATCGAAAAATGGAAAGACAGTAAGTGAAGGTGTGAAGCAGGCTAGTGGTCTGTATACAATTAATTTAGAACCTGAGAGTAGCCTAATTGAACAATCAAGTAAAACTATGTTAACGGGGTATAAGGATAGGCCTAATGCGTTGGATTGGCATTCTCGTTTGGGACACCTAAATGTAAACTACATGAAGAAAATGGTAAAGCAAAATTTAGTTGACGGTATGGAACTAACAGAAAAAGATTGTGAAGAAATTGAAAAAATTGCGATGTATGTTTAAAATCGAAACAAACCCGTTTCCCATTCAGTGAAGAAAGGAAACGTGCAGAAAGACCCCTCCAAATCATACACACAGATTTATGTGGTCCCATTGATCCGAGTACATGGGATGGAAAAAAATATGCTTTGACCTTGATGGATGACTATACTCATTTTGTAGTGGTCAAGTTGTTGTCGAACAAACATGAAGCATTTAAGTTTATAAAAGAATATGTATTAGAAGCCGAAGCTCAGCAAAATCTTCGGGTTTCAAAATTAAGATGTGACAACGGTGGAGAATATAGAAGCAAAGAAATGCAAGATTGGTGTAAAAATCGAGGGATTCAGTTAAGCTATACAGAAGCGTATACGCCAGAACACAATGGGAAGGCGGAGAGATTAAATCGAACACTGATTGAAAAGGCCAGAGCATTGTTGTATGACACAGAGACTGACAAGAAGTTTTGGGGAGAAGCAGTGAGAACATCAGCTTATTTGTTGAATAGAAGTCCTACAGAAGCGGTGGACGTAACACCAGCAGAAAAATGGTTTGGGAAAAAACCTAATGTGTCTCGACTACGGAAATTTGGATGTGAGGGACATGTAAAAATTGTGAGACCAATCAAGAAACTTGATCCGAGAAGTGAAGTCATGAAATTTATAGGCTATGCAGAAAATGGTTATCGAATGTGGAGTTATGACAAACAGAGGATCATTACAGCTAGAGATGTCATTTTTGACGAAAAAGAAAATAGGCCTAAATCAGATGTTGGAGGAAAAATTGATTTTAGTCTAGAAAATGACTTAGTCGATGGTAATAGTTCAAATGCAGAATTTTATGAAGAAAATCATGAAGAGGAAAATGAAATGAATCCAGTAAATCAAACCGAAGAAACAGAAGAAGAAATAAGACCTAGAAGAGAAAGGCGAATACCCAGTAAGTTTCGAGATTTTGCAATGTTGACGTTTAAAGAAGCTATAAGTAGTCCAGAGAAGAAGGAGTGGTTAAAAGCAATCAAAGAAGAGAAGAAATCACTTGAGAAAAATAACACTTGGACTTATAAAAATGAAGAAGAAGCTAAAGGAAAAAGAGTTTTAACAAACAAATGGGTTTTTTCTAAAAAAGAAGATGGTCGTTTTAAAGCTCGCTTGGTTGTAAGAGGATGTGAGCAGAAAAGTGACTTTAACTATGAAGAAATTTTCAGTCCAGTAGTAAGTATTAATTCACTTAGAATTATGTTTGCAATTGCTGTGTTGAAGGAATATCATATTTTAAAATTTGACATCAAGACAGCATTTTTGTATGGTGAAATACAAGAAGAAATTTTTATGGAAGTACCAGAAGGATTTGAAGAGCCTCATAAAGTTTGTAAATTGAACAAAGCCTTGTATGGTTTGAAACAGGCACCAGTTACTTGGAACAGGAAGTTTACACAGGTATTGAAACAGAAAGGACTTGAACCAACAATGAATGAAAAGTGTATATTTAAAAATGAAGATGGATCTGTTATCCTTGCTTTATATGTGGATGATGGGATTTTAATTGGAAGAAATAAAGAAGAACTGGAAAAAGTATTGAAGGAACTGAAAAGAGAATTTGAAGTTAAAGAAGATCTGAAGCCAATCAGTTTCTTGGGAATCGAAATTCAGAGAACAGAAGATAAGATACAATTGACTCAACAAAAGTACACAACAAATCTGTTACAGAAGTTCAACATGGAAAATTCCAAGTTTGTTGCAACCCCAAGTGAGATAAACACATCAAGATCTGGGAAGTTAGTCAATAGTTTTCCATTTAGAGAAGCGGTTGGGAGCCTATTATATCTTTCTACAAGATCAAGACCAGATATTGCTTATCCAGTAAACTTTTGTAGCAGACACTTGGAAAACCCTGTAGAAGAAGACATCATAAGAGTGAAGAGGATAATGAAGTATCTAGTTGGTACTACAAATCAAGGAATAAGTTATCTCAAAGACTCGGACATGAACTTATTAGAAGCCTACTGTGACGCAGACTACGCCGGAGATGAAGATACCAGAAGAAGTACAAGTCGATATGTGATTCTATATGCTGGAGGACCTATTGCCTGGTGTTCGAGGCGACAACCCATCGTAGCGCTCTCATCGACCGAGGCGGAGTATATAGCAGCTGCGGATTGCTGTAAGGAACTACTTTATTTAAAATCGTTAATTCAAGAAATAACAAACAGCCCTTTGCAAGTGAAATTATATGTGGACAATCAGAGTGCAATCTCTTTGATGAAGACCGGTGTTATGAACAAAAGAAGCAAGCATATTGATGTACGGTACCATTTCATTCATGAGAAAATTGTAACGGGTGAGATTAATGTTATGTATTGTCCTACAGATAAGCAAGTTGCAGATCTCTTAACTAAACCTTTATGCAAAGTAAAGTTTAATTTGTTCAAAGAAAGAATCGTACAAATTGGAAAATGAAATGTAGCCTAGAACTATAAAGAGGCCTAAATTTTTTCTTTGTTATCATGTCTATTTGTTTTGATTCTGGACAAATATGCCCTAATAGGCTGATATGTATATATATTTTTGATTTCACAATGAAATCACCAATATTGTTGTTTATAGGCCATTAATATTGAACTAGTTTGTAAAGAACATTTTGGATAGGCCCTATAATGTTTGGTTACATAAATGTTAAAATTAAGAGGGGGTGTTGAGATCAATAATTTTAACATTATTCATTTAAAATTATTATATATATATATATTTTGTTTGTATTATCAACTCTTTTGTTGCCTTTGAGTTTAGTAAAAAAGAAGTTTTTTTCTATCAAGAAGGTCTTTGAGTTGTATAGAAAGAGAGAAGTAAAATGGCCGTGGTAATGAGAGGTTGAGTAGTTGTTTTGCTGTGTAAATTGTAACATTAAAAAAGTGTGTTTTCAATAAATAAGATATTTGGGAAATGTATTGTGTTATTAAAAAGCCCAGCACAGACTAAAAATTCACAAGGAACAACATTCAGAATGTTTTATCTCCATCAAAGCTAAAACTATATTGATGGACTAGGCTATCTGATCTGACTGTATAACAGATCCTAAAAACTCTTGCTCAAAAAAGCCAAAATGCCTACTGTACAGATGTTTCCAAAATGTTTGAGATGTTTCTAGTACAAGGATGGATGGATTAAACAAAAGTCACAAGATAACATAGAAAGGTTGTTCTAATGTATTTATATTATATAACTAGGCGGTAGCGGATTTCTACCCCCGGATATTTACCCCCATGAAAAAACGCCTACGTCATTTTGACGTCACGAGGGGCGGGGCTTATACACGTTCGAGAAACAGCCCGCGACTGGAAATCTACCCCCGGACATCTACCCCCGGACATCTACCCCCAGACATCTACCCCCGGACATCTACCCCCGGAAATCTACCCCCATTGGTCAGCTCTGCCGCGTATCGGCCAATATTCATTGTGTTGTATAATTGATTTTATAAATTGCTTTACCTTCTTATATCCAGTAGTAAACATGCGATATGTCGATGTCTGTTTTAACATTATCCATATTTATAATTCAATAAGTTGTAACAGTCCTTTTCAACCCGACCTACTTCACTGATTTTTACGATTGAGGTGTCTTTTAAAAGCTTAAGATCTAGCGCAGCACAAAATGGTAATTAAAAGGATATTTCGATTATGGCTTCAAAAGGTTGACCCCTAAGCCTTTGATTTATTCCTAGAAGGTGCTTCCAATGGTTGACCAACTTTTACACTATACAGTAACAGTTTAAAAGTGAAATGTGAGGAGTACTCATCAGATCAATTTTTAAGTCAGGTTGTGAAAACATGAATGATCGTCTGCAACTGTAAACAGGAGATGAAAAAGTTATGAAAATAATATAATATTGCGCACTTTTCACATGGTCAAGTGTTACATCGTACTGAACCATTGTTTTTACACACATTTCTTAAAGGATAAAGTGAATAAACTGTGGTGACCTTCCGGTTTATTCAATGTAGGCCTAGTAGGAATAATTGTTTAGTAAAACAAAACTCAGTTGTAAACTGTTAAATTGAGAAAGAGGATCAATAAAAGTCAGGTGTATAATGGTAAATTTTTCATATCATCTAGTAAAAAAAATAGTTTCTAAGATTTAAATGCGTACTAAGAAAGGATTTAAAGTATTTTCTCTTAAATACCTAAAATAAGACAATTCAGTTGTAAACTGTTAAATTGAGAAAGAGGATCAATAAAAAGTCAGGTGTATAATGGTAAATTTTTCATATCACCTAGTAGTAAAAAAATTTAGTTTCTAAGATTTTAGATGCGTACTAAGAAAGGATTTTAAAGTATTTTCTCTTAAATACCTAAAATAAGACAATTATTCAAATTCAAAATAATGGCCACATTCAATTTTTTAAGCATAGCCTAACATCTTTTAATATATATATATATGTATATATATATATATATATATACGCCTAAATACCCCATTGCAGCACATTCGCATATTCAGAGCATGTATAAAGTCTTATTGGAAAATCCTGCCTTAAAACAAAACTTGTCACCTTATGTCCATAAATAAGTGTTCAAAAGATTCATTCATAATAATACCAAATAGGAAGTGAATAAGCAGGTTTCCTGTTAGTAAAATGTTAAAATGAGGCATTTTAAGGTAGTATACAGAACAGAATTAGGTTAAACCCGTCGACACTGACGGTTACTTTCAAGGCTTATGCTAATTCATTTTATAACTGCGATAAATAGATTGAAGTAATACAAATTTTGAGCATTTAGCTCTTTTGATGAGTAATAAGTGTAAAAGCAATAATGACTATTGTGTTAGTTACAAAATATGGTTGATCATTCAATGAATAAAATATTTCCCATACCGTACGTCATAACAGTTATTATTACAATGTTAACCGGTTTCTCTTCTTTTGGAAGAACCTTTAAATAGTATTAAAATCGTGTTGGTCAATCTTTTGTGATAAACACTTCCGATCCGCGCTCATGCATGCGCTGTTAGCTGTTACTGTATGTGAAAGTTTGTCAACCATTTAAATCACTGTCTGGAAATGAATCAAATGCTTAAGGGTCACACTTTTGAAGCCCTTTATCAACATATGGTTTTAAATACCATTTTGCGTTGAGCTAAATCTTAAGATTTAAAATTAGACCTCAATCATAAATATCAGTGAAGTAGTTCGGGTGAAAAAGGGCTGTTACAACTTATTTTATTAGGAAGATAGATAATGTTAAACAAGGCAATAACATATCACATGCTTAATACTAGATATTAGAGGGTAATGATTAACCGAAGAGACGTTGATTTACATAAAACAATTAATAAAATCAATTACAACAATGAATATTGGCCGATACGTGGCAGAGCTGACCACTGGGGGTAGATTTCCGGGGGTAGATGTCCGGGGGTAGATGTCCGGGGGTAGATGTCTGGGGGTAGATGTCCGGGGGTAGATTTCCAGTCGCGGGCTGTTTCTCGACCATGTATAAGCCCCGCCCCTCGTGACGTCAAAATGACGTAGGCGTTTTTTCATGGGGGTAAATATCCGGGGGTAGAAATCCGGCGACCCAACTAGGCTACTTTTAAAATAGTGTATTCCTATACCCATCTTTAAAGAAGGTAAAGTGCAAGCAATAACCATCAAACAGCATGCAGAAAAATGTTTTTTAACTAACCACTCTTACCCCTTGTAAAGATCTTTTGACTGGTGGGGGGGCGGATCCGAATAAAATAAAAGGCGGCTTTCGTTCTACTCTTGCTCTCTTCAAAGCCAAAGCTTCTTTAGCCGCCTTATACTGTCTCAGTTTAAGAAGCCTTGTTCCTTGTTCCTTTGGTGGTTCATTTTCATTTTGACCTACGAAGTGAAAAAGTACCAAATATACCAAAAGCTTAGTGAGCTGTTTATTATATAATGGCCATAAAAGTAAATTAATTTATAGCAAAACATAGTTATAAAAATAATATTAACTATTTTTAATATTCAGTTTTATGTCCGTGATGGTCGTGACAAAATTTCGTGTCTTTCCATCAAACATGCTCTATTAATAAAAAATCACCAAAGATATTGCGTTACCATGGACATTTTATGAAACTTCAAATGTCAGTAAAATAAAAAAAATAAAAAAAAATTCAAAAACGGAACAAAAAATTTTAAAAGTGCTTTTCCTGAAAACGTACGTTTTTAAATTTTCACTCAACAGTTGTAAGTATTCGAATGATTAATACATGAAGTTTATTTTTCAACAATTTTATTAATTTTCCTGTGTTGGTCTTTTATCAAGGTAATCGGCTTAACCGAACAATTGCAATAATACAATATTAGTCAATTGTCTATCATTACATAAATTACTACATATTGGTTCAAATCAGTGTTTGGTATAACTATTTCATTATTACAGAATCATTGCTATACTTAATAGAAGTTCAATAAAGAGAACATTTTGCATTCAGAGTATTGGTTCACATTTTATTGCATTTTAAGAGGTGTTACATTATAAGATCATTGAAGGTATTTACAGGAGGACATATCAGACCTCTCACGGTCCATAAATCGGATTTCTGGGGTATATAATTACCAGGGCTCAATTCAACATCTTACTTCCACTGCGCAGCTCTGTGATTAGTCCTCAGTTGTCTGATTAAATTAATATAAATTAAATTCATTAAAACCTCACCAGGGGGCAACTTTTTGTTATATTCACACCTGTATGGAATATCTAAATTGTATTACGTAGAGGTGTGAGGTGATTTTATACTTGACGGAATGATCAATTAAGTAAGGAAATAAAGTAGTAATATTTCCTTACAAAAGAAATGAGTAAGGATCCTTTTATTTTTCTTTACAATCTTAATTGTTTAAAAATTATAGGCAGAGTCACGAAATAAGTCAGACTTGTTGCTCGCCACTTCTAGGCTGCCTTCTACAAAAATCGCCGGGCAAAATACCATGCCACCAGAACAAAAGGTTTTTGTGACGAAGTAATCTTATAATTCATTTTTATAGCCCCAGGATTGCCTTTTATGACTAAAATGGTAGGAACGCATCTTGTCAGATAATCCGTTTGTACACAAAACACGAAACGATAACAGATAGGCCTATCAATTCACGCGTGTACATTGCCGTCAGCAGGACTAAACTGAAGTAAACTGAATCAGGTTATGACGGAAAGACGTGGTCTCTGGATTGTCGTCTGCGTTATCAAAAGCTGATATTGGACTAATTGTAATGACGGAGGAAAGTATGTTGAAAATATAATGGGATTCATAATTGAGTTTTCCATTCAAAACCATTGACAATAATAACCAATTTATGTGCTGGATATAAATGATGGTCTCGAAATTCTACAGTACTGCACAAAAGGAAATTTATTAAATACTTTGAGGAGTTTGAAATATATGAATACATAAAATTGGGGACAGCACAAAATTGTTGAGTGAAAACACTCAATTAATTATGAAACCCATTATATTAACCTTACAGTGCTGAAAACAATATATTATTCTTTAATACACTCTCATCTGGCATACGGAATTTGTATATATGGAGCTACCTCAATGTATAATTTGGACAAAATTCTGATAAAACAAAAAAAAGCAATACGAATCATGTTAGGTTTAAAAAGCACAGAGAGTGTCGAAAACTTCTTGAAAGATCTTAAAATTTTGACAGTTTACAGTCTTTATGTCTTGGAAACAATAAAGTATGTCAAAGAACATGAAAGTGATATATTTTTTGAATCCAAGCATCATTATGATACCCGAAATAAAATTATTTTTGATAAACATAATCTGCATTTTTATAAAAACAAAACTAAATATATGGGCACCAAATTTTTTACTCAGTTGCTAAATTTAATTAGAAATGAGCAAAATTACAATAAATTTAAAAACTTGCTGAAAGAATATCTTCTTAATAAAGCTCTCTATTCTTTTTCAGAGTTTCCTTAAGTGAGGGCTCTACTACTGGTTGCCTGGGTTTTATATATAGTTTTAATTATATTGTATTTTAGCTATATAGCATGAAAGTATGTGATTTTTAGTAGTTATATGTGACTCTATTCTGATACTGCTATGTATTTACACGAATAAAGTTTATTTTGACTTTGACTTTGACTTTGACTTTGACTATATTTTCAATACTCTTCTCAGTGACTACAATAGTCCAATATCAGCTGTTGAAAACGCAGACGACAATCCAGAGACCACGTCGGTCCGTCATAACCTGAACCTGAACCCGATTCAGTTTACTTCCAGTCTTGCCGACGGCAATGTACACGCGTGAATTGATAGGCCTATCTGTAATCGTTTTGTGTTTTGTGTTAAATGTTTGTAACGTATTCTGACGACACCTCCAGAAGGGGATCTTTTGTAAATCCTGACTATGGTGGAGTTAAAGAACCAACAAAACATATTATGTAGCATGTAAAATTCGACACTGGCATGTTAAGGATTGTCTGACAAGGTGCTTTACCATTCTTAGAAGCAATCTTAATTACGAACGGCAAAGTGTTGTTGGTGTTGATAGTGAGCTACTTTTAGTGAGACATTTTTTCGGACTGCTTGTACAAAATTATACAGCCATTATGACAGCTAACAAAAATTAAAAATCCCCCCAAAAACCCTTAAAAAAAGTCCCCCCCAAAAATTCCTGTGGCGCAAACGCGCCACAGTACCCCCCCCTCTGGGCACCCCTGTACAGACCTGGTACTATTTGCCTTTGAAAGTCAAAATTTATTGACCTTCTAAGGCTACGCTCTTTCCTCAGGTTTTTGCATTCTACGAGCCTACGTTTCTTGGTGTTTCCAAAATGTGACGGTTTAAGTAATGCTCGCCTATCCATTTGTCCTATAAGACATAAGACATGTTTATTTCCAGTAGACATATTTCAAATGTATTAGAAGAGTCAAACATTTTCATGGAGAGCAGTTGTCAAATTGAGAAGAATGTTATAAAGTATACTTTGAAGTCTAAAAAAATTGCATTTTAAGTTAATTAATAAGGTCTAAAACTAATATCACAGAGTTTATCGCTATCGAGAAGTAAAAACAACAATTTAAATTTAGCAAAACATTACAAAAATAGACAGGTTGTACTACAAGGTATTAGGTGAAGGCATAATAGTTCGACAGTTAGACAATGACAACTAAAAACAACTTTGACGAAGGAAGGTCTAAAAAGTCTTCGAGTTCATAAAACGGATTAACAGCTAGCCATTGGAACACTTTATATTTAAAAGGATTATATGGGAGAGAGAACATAAATGTAGGAATCTTATTAATACATTGCATGCCTACTATTTCATAGCTTTCCTTAGATTTCTCCAGTCTAACATAGGGAATGTCAAGTTTATTTCTGAAACGGGTTTTGTGCTGGTGGACATCTTTACGGCAGTTAAAAGCATTTAAATTCTTAAAACTAGTTAACATTAAATTAAAAATAATTATACAAGTTAACAACAGTGAGAATTTTAAAATCAATAAATAATACATGCATAGGCCTAGGTAAAATTTAGTAATGTATACAGACTGTCCCAAAAGTCCCGCACCGGTTTAATATTTTCTAAACGACACCAGATAGATCAATAAGATTTGGTACATCAACACGACACCTAAAAATCTACTTTTTTAAGGAAATATCAATTTTCTGTCATATCATGGGGACGTCCCGCAAGGAGTCAGAAGGAAATCTTAAATAGAAGCATAGGTTGACATGTACATCAAATTAAAGGTCTTTACTAGCAGAATACAATGCTGCAAATTTGAACTCAAACGGAAAACCGAGCCAAGAATGACAGTGGTTCAAAGATTCATTTAATTTGCATTGCTATTATACACTTACTCCTGAGGGGGCACAGCCCTAGGAATCGGAAGAAAATTTTTAAAGTAAGCATAGGTCGATATGCACATCAAATTAAAGGTCTTCACTAGTAGATTACAATGCCGTAAATTCAAGCTCAAAAGAACGCCTGAATAAAAAATGGCAGTCGTTCAAAGATTCAAAATGGCTGATTTAAGAAATCTTTGAACGGCTGCCATTTTTTACTCAGTTTCCCGTTTGAGTTCAAATTTGCGGCATTATATTTTGCTAGTAAAGGTCTTTAATTTGATGTACATGTCAACCTATGCTTCTATTTAAGATTTCCTTCTGACTCCTTGCGGAACGTCCCCATGATATGACAGAAAATTGATATTTCCTTATAAAAGTAGATTTTTAGGTGTGGTGTTGATGTACCAAATCTTATTGATTTATCTGTTGTCGTTTAGAAAATATTAAACCGGTCCGGGACTTTTGGGATAGTCTGTATACTTACTAACAAAGATAACTTGTACAACTAGCCTGAAGATAGCTGACGATCCTATCTGACGACCTAGATGATTTTTTGCCCTTTTGATTTACGACTTGCCAGTGGAAAGTAAGCTGAGTGCAAATTAAAGTAGACCTCAAAGTTAATCTTTGAAAATGCTATTAGTGGTATGGGAGCTGAGAGTATAATTAATTGTGAAACTTAACGATGTGTTTTCTTTTAAATCGGTGATTGTTAATCAATGTTGTTGTAATCTAATACAGTATTGGCGTTTACTCACAGCATACGGAGAACAACTCATTAGGAAATATTTCCTACTGAAATATCCTAAAGAATGCGCCTGGTCCCTTCGGAGTGTTAGGGGAATTTTGTAACATTCTAAAAATGCAACGCTTGCATCGAAAGCTTATAATTCCACGAATGGAAGTAAAATCTTTCCAAACCAAACATATTTCAACAAATTACAAGCCAACTGTATTACTCAACCTATTTAGCACGGAGGATAACGCGAGTGTTTACAACATAGTTGTAAACGTAGAGTTTGAGAATAAATTATGATTTTCGACGACTATCACAACTAAAACTTAGGTGGTACTGCTAACCAACTTATGTACATGTTATAAATAATAGTTAAGGAAGGAATGGATTAATGTATCTGCAATGCTAAAATGCTACGGGAAGAGACTGTAGACTGTATGTAAAAATGATTACGAAGCACGAATCGATACATATTTTCTATACATCCAATCGTTTACAATCAAAATTTACAACTGAGTTGACAACAGCTGATTTTCACTCCATAGAGGCTAAAAACTATTTTTACTCCCTAAATATTAAAAATGCTACTTTAGACCCGCAACACATGCATTAAAAACTACTGTTTTTACTGCAGTATGACAAAAACAATATAATATGAACCCTTGATGACTCCGCTCAATTTTGTGGATGCCTCTGCAAACGCCACCTAGTATACAAATCTATACTAATATATAAATACCCCCGCCGCAGCAAACCTGCAGACTAAGCGAATTTCCATTTGCCTGATTGGATTTAGACAAAAATGTCTCCTTAAAAATATTACATTTATTCCCTATTTAAATAGCATTAGTTTAACGAGTACTTAGGTTTGCTGCAACAGGGAGGGTGGTATAAAGTGTTTTTTGTACAATGTTAATAGTTTAGTATGAAATGAATGCATTTTCCAAATTTGATCAAAATAAGCTCATAAACAAGCAAACTACAACAGTTTACAATTTTCTCCATAAGAATAACATGGGAATTTTAAATTAAAATTTTTTTGAATTTTCTCCGTAGCCATTAGGCGCATAATAACGCTTCAATATACTAAATTATTTGTTTTTTTAAGCTCTACAAAATGGTTTGGAAAGAAGTTGCTAAATTTTATGTTTTTAGGGTCAAAAATGGGAAAAACCAATTTTTACCCCATAAAACCCCCCATAAACCCCTCTTCCCATAGTCCGATCATGCTGGTTTGCGAACTCGTTCGAATAAACGTAGGTTTACACATTTGTACCAAATTTCATAAAAATCGGATGATTTTTGCTCGAGTTATCGTGCTAACGGACACATATATATGAATTCAAACGGATGGTGTTTTTGGCCATGTAATTTACACGTATTGACTATTGGATACTGAAGTAGACATCCCATCTCTATGGACCAGCTGTCACAATTTTTAAATTAAAAAACATGTAGTTGTGAATCACATCGAATGCTTGTCTTAAATTCATTTTTCTACCTTATTTTTGTTGCTGACAAAGTTGATGGGTCATAACAGTTGATACAGCTCATAATAAGTCATTCCATAAGTTTGACTTTGTAAAAAAACATTGTGTATTGGACAGAAATTAGTCATTTAGATCAGTGCACACGATTCTTTTACACTGTAGGCTGTTATTTTTTTTAGAAAAATTTGCGCATAGTTGCACATTAACTTATTGAAATTAATTGTATCAAACGTGCAGTCTTTTCTCTTTTATCAAGGAGATTTAAGTCCCAAACAAAACATAATCTTCCTTTTCTTGAAGGCTAAATTAAAAGATATCTTTACATATAAAAAGAAAGAAATAAAAAAAACTGGCAAATGGCTGATAAAATTCTGATAAGCCCATTTATAAATTGGAGTAAAGTTTATCAGATCTATGCTTTAGTCATTGAATTCAAACATTTATTTTAAAATTACACTCAAAAACTTTTGTTTAGTAGAATTAATTATGCAAGCGACTGAGGGTGTGGGAGGGCATGTGAACCAGCCTTTACAAAGGGCAAGTCTGCCATTCTGACAAACTTTCTCTTTTCATACCCCTTGTCCCGTTAGACAGGGGAGGGGGTGCTTCACTTCACACTTAACACCCACAGTTTGCAACCGCAGTAGGGTTGGGTTGTTGTGGTAGTGACGTAATTCTGTCGTCTGCTCTTCACAGCTCAATCATCAGCGGCTTTCGTGAAATAATAATTGATACCTAACTTTTGTTAATAGTCATTAAAAAAATGTTGGCCTCCTCACCCTGTTCAAGGAAAAATGTTAGGAAATAAAATGTTTGTAAAATGTGGTTTGTTTTATTATTCTGTATTGAAAAGATATCGTAATTTATTAATGTGTTTTCAGCTAGACTTAGTGACTTATTTTCATAGTTTGACAAATTTTGAAGATATAAATAGTGAGAAAATGACATTATATATTATTTAAGTTCTAATCAATAACTATTACCTTTTTAATAGGCCTCACTGATCTCTTTGAACTTTTTAGTATACACACACTTTTATTAATTTCAATCTTTATTTTTAATTTCAGATCTATTTATTCATAGCATGCAATAATGTATCAAATCGACAGTAAACACTGATTATCAACTTTTTTGGTTCGTGCTGATTTAAGAATGAACCAGAAGTATTGAAAGCCACCAAATATAAATGTGAAAATTAAGTAACAATACTACATTATAAAATAAACTCTATTTTATTTAATACAGGTCAATAAATAAACTTAACGATTGCTTTATTGATATATAGGCTTATTCTAATTGTTAGTGAAGGGTGAATTTCCTTAGGCCAACCATAAAATTAGCAGTGTCTATTAGTGAGGTTAGGTCAGCAACTATCCTCTTGTTCATAATTTTATTTAGTACATTTTTTACTTTATTTTTTTAAGGTAAAGGATCCATTACAGAAACACATGTTGTATTTAATTTTTAAAGAAAATCATGCCGTGCTGCATCGAATCGAATCGCATCAATTCAAATCAAAATTCTTTGAATCGCATCGATGCATCGAATCGAAAAAAATATGCTGCATCGCACACCCCTACCCCAAAGAGTAACGTAAACATATTTAACTTTTTTCCAATACAGGGTGTGCCAAAAACTAGGGTCACTAGTTCGAATCTCGGAATTTACAAATGTAAACATATGTCATGTTATACACCATTTTAAAGGTATGTTAGAAAAATATGTTGGTGAAAACAGAAATTAATTATCTTTTCCCGTTTCAAATTGGTGGCAGTTTTTTTTATAAAATCAATATTTATTAATACTCTGTGTTTCCTTTACCAATGCACTTAGCCCATCTCCGGTTGAATGTTCTTACTCGTTATAAAATTAGCTTTACTGAGATATGCTACAAGTAACGGTTTTTTGAAATAGGCCTAATAAAAATTCCAAAATAGTTGATTTTGGAAATTTGAAAATGGCCATTGTTCAAAATTTCCAAATTGGCCCTAACCTGGCCACAAACAAATCGAATAGAACTATGTTGTTTAGGACATGTACATGAGAACTCACGTTCATCACGGCGACCAGCTTCGGCCCAGCTTTTCTTGACAGTTCTTGAGTCCTGGAATGAGATTGGAGGGGTTAAAGGGGCATGACCGACAAGCTTTACACCACACCTACTTGTTCTAGGAACAGCTGTCAACCTCAATTGACCGGTCATGTCAACATAACACCTTCTTATCTTATCTTCTTCTAATCTTATCTTACCGTCTGGTGACGGTATGGGCCGAAATTATTTTAACGTAAAAAAAACACTTATAATCAACTCAGATGAGAATAATATGTATACCATTCGAAAGATCACATTCTGAACTTCCATTTTATTACATAAACAAACCCTGTAGCAGGTATATAACAATGTCACGACGATTACAGGGTGTCCGGCGACCGGGAAAACCAGGAATTATACAGGAATATTATGACGCCAGGAACTATGCGGGAATTATACTGGAATATTATGACACCGCGAACTATGCGGGAATTATACGGAAATTCTGTAATTATGGCAGTAATGTACGGGAATTTTTCTGGGATCGATTTTTTATTTCAAATATTCAACATTTATTGAGAGTCAAACAGAACACGTCTAAAATTTAAACTTCCTCAACCGGAAACTGTAATTAGGATAAAAAACAAAATCAGCACGTTACAAAGACGATAGGCTACGAACGCCATTTTCTTGAAGCCGTCCATCACAGGATCGTGATTCGGGCACTTCGTCAGAGTCGGTTCCCGAATGACGTAATGACGACGCAACGAGTGGCAGTGGATACAACTCTGACAGTGGCCGTGGCCGGTCTAGTGTAATGTCTCGACTGTCTGCTACGCAGGCACGTCTAGTTTGAAAACAAGCAACAGTTTTTCAGTTCGTATTGTTCTTGTTTACGGATGTCCAATTTCTCTGGGATATAGAGGTAAGTTGAAATATCTTAAACACAATAATGTTTGATTTGTATTTATAAACGTATATAAACTTATTTTTATTTAAGTTGACCGAGTGACAAAACCTCAAAGCGCAAGGCATACTCTTTACATAAGTTCTCAGTTTCATCTGTTAACAAAAGATGTTTTGTGTTGTTCTTAATTAATCAATTATTTTGTATGTATAGTGTATGAATGTAATGCAATAATTGGTAATGAATCCTAACCTCTATGAAGTTATAAATGCTGTTTTGCCGGCGGTTTAATAACCTACGGACGGAAGGTCTAATATCGCTTGAACTGCAGTGTCTGTCCAAACTGTGCTCGTCCAATATGAACCGTATGCCTATGAGCAGATGGTCGAATATCGCATGTTACTTGCACTACATGCTCCTTTGGTGTAATAGATCAGAAGGTCGATAATCGCTTGACAAGGTGGTGATAGAATAGGTTTTCTTATTTGGAAAGGACGTAATTAACTGCTGTCGTACAGCAAGCAGTTAAAAATGCAAATGTTGGTTATTTTTACAGCAAAAATGGCACAAATTTTTGTCTTCCTTTTCCCTTTAGTGTAGACCAGGCCTAGTAATACTGTTATACAGTAGGCCTACAAAATATATAATTACTGTACCTTATTAACTGGACACAAAACTTAATTGATACTCTTCTAATATAAATAAAATCATAATAAAATTACTTTTGAGCCAATTTGTTTATGTTTCTTCATTCCATTACATTATAATATTCTCCGTTTTTAGTCTTAATGAATATTAAATCTTAATCTTTAATTAGCATATTATCGCGTTGGTTCTACAGCACTCGATATTCTAGGAATTGGTGATCTATTCATTGATGGCGGAAGTTGTGGATTTCCAGGATGTAGCCTATATTTATTTGCCAGTCCCACGCAGCTATACAGTGTAGGCTACAGTGCGAAATGGCGGAACGCTGTCTCACGATGGATCATTTTATTGCGAATTCGGCTGATTCTTTTGTAACCGACGTTTCTTTTTGACTGGCCGTGGCTAATTTAATTCGAATATAATATAATATATTTTGTTTCATTTATTAATACGAAACGGTACTTTGGTATTATACGGAGGCCACCCACCAGATGAGTAATAGGCTACTGTACTTTTGCCCGCCAAACCCCCTACAAGTAGGTCAAGGTCAGGTCGTTGACCAGAGCGCGCACATCACCTGTCACCGTCTGCCTGTATCTGGGCCAGTGTCCCGAGTGATGACACATCTGCTCGATTCATAACGAAACAAGCAAAGTCCTACAAACATATTTTTGATAACCCAACCTAACATAAATAAACCATAACCGCCGCAGCGCGCTGTATTTACTTGGCGGAGTACATGTGGCAGCTAGCGGCGGCGCGGCGACACATTCAATTCAATCCTCGCCGACATCGCTGCCTTCTTGGAGGCAGAACTCAAAGACCGCTAATCGTAATCATGTCAAATTTTGACAGTAAATCAATTAAAGTATGTTCTTTTCAATTTTTGGTTATTTTTGGTCTCCGGGAAAAAAATCCCTCTAGAATAAGTGGCCTCCGTATCATACGATAGTACCTACGAAACTTAATATTAAATTCTCTAGGAATAGATTAATTTTTTATAAAATATTTTACATAGTTTTGTGCCGATTTTAAATGCAAAGATTTAAAATCCGCGCCAGGCAATGGACAAGTCAGTCCAACATGACGTAACGCGGAAGGATACGAACTGGAAGACCGTTGGGAGCCGTGCCGTGTTCAAACGTCTCGTCGTCACTCGTGGTTCGGTGTTCGTACAATCAACATGTAAAGTCGCGTTTGTCGCTGGTGTAGGACGATTTTATTAATATCTTCATTTGTAGCTCGGAAATTCGCGTTCGGGCGAAGATTGTACGTGCATCAATTGATCGCAATTGTCAAAATTTCGCCGAACTGCAATTGGGGGTGTGTTTTTATTAGTATTAGGTCGAGACAGTTGAGATGCCGGATTGATTGTTCGCGTTCGTGATGAAAATTCGTACATGCATCATATCGATAGCAAATGTCAGTTTCTAGCGAATCGCGGATCGTCGTGACGGTATTTTCAATTGAATCATTAAACGCCAGCTCGAAAAAACAAGAATTAATAAGTCCTACACCAGAAAAAACCGTGTCGTGATATTCAGCTCGGTCAGACAAAAATCACAAAACACCACGAGTCAGTTTTTAAATGTTCCGTCCGTGTGAATCTTTCGTCAGTGTGAATGTGAATGTGTCGACATGTCTACGTAAGTAAATGTTTTGTGTAAATTTGTGTTTTAGTATTAATTTAGCAATGCAAATCTGCCACATTTTTTCACATGTACCACTCGTTTCACAAGTTAGGAATCATGTTTTGTTTGGTTTGAAAATTTCATGTTTCACTTGGTCTGCTTAGAGCAAGCACATGGTCACAAATTCGGGAAAAATGATTTTTGTTAAATTTTGTTATGTCATATAAAGAATTTAAGTTATAATATTGATCATAGTCAAATTGAAAATTATTTACGAAATTGAATTGAAATGGTATATTAATTTTAAGAGCAATGTTTATCTGTGATATTATTATTTTTGTTACAACTTTGTTCTTTCATAAATATTTGGATTTAAATCACTTCTAAAGTGTATATAGAGATCTGAGAGTGTTTGATTGTGTATCAAATTCAGTTTTTGAACCAGAGCATAGTCCCGGTTGAAGGGTAGGGTTTGAAGTAGAGGCTATAAGGATAGGCTTCCATTAAGGTCATAAAAAGTCATTTATTAATACAAATTAAACAATCGACTCAGAAGTCGGTTCGTCCCAGTTTGCCACTGAGCAGTAAGGAGTGTATAATACACACAAACTACGAAAAATCCCCTTTTGCATATTAAAGTCAGCTGGCCAGTTGTTAGTAAAAACCATATTTTGGGAAGCCTGATAGCCTAAAATAAATTGAATAAATTAAACCTAGGTTCCCGAGGCTCTGCTATCAATATTTTAGAAAACAAAAGAAGGTCCAAAATCACAATCAATACTCTCCATTGTTTACATAGAAGTGTCAGTAGAACAAAAACCTTGAATTATTATTGATACTTGTAACAGCTGTGTAATATTTGAGTGACAATATACAAAGCTTATTCTTTCAACAATTTTATTAATTCTCCTGTGTTGGTCTTTGTCAAGGTAATCGGCTTAACCGAACAATTGCAGTAAAATACAATATCATTCAATTGTCTATCATTATATAATTTATTACATATTGGTTCAATCAGTGTTTGGTATTATTATTTCAGTACTACAGAATCATTGCCATGTTTTAATAGAATTTCAACAAAGAGTACATTTTGCATTCAGAGTATTGGTTCACATTTTATTACATTTTAAGAGGTGTTACATTATAAGATCATTGAAGGTATATTCAGGAGGACATATCAGACCTCTCACGGTCCATAAATCGGACTTCTGGGGTATTTAATTACAGGGCCCACTTAACATCTTTAATTCCACTGCGCACTGCTCTGTAATTGTACGTCCTCAGTAGTTCAATTAAAAATTAAATTAATTCATTAAAACCCCACCAGGGGGCAACTTTTTGTTATACTCACACCTGTATGGAATACCTAAATTGTATTACATAAAGGTGTGAGGTGATTTTATACTTGATGGAATGATCAATTAAGTGAGGAAGTAGTGATATTTCCTTACCAAAGAAATAAGTAAAGAGTTTTATTTTCTTTACAAAAAGAATATAGGAATTATTCTTTTTATTTTTCTTTACAGTTTATTTATTGTAGGTTTGAAAATGAAGAAAATTCGTGGAAAAACTAGGTTTCAAGACAATTGGGTCAACAAATTCTCCTGGGTGAAACCTGTTGAAGCTAATCCACATGCTGCAAGATGTTCGTTATGCAAACAAGATTTTGCTGTTGACAGTATGGGCAGAAGAGCTTTGCAGAGCCATGCCGAAGGCAAAAAACACAAAATGAGGGTGAACGACGCAATGAAATCTGTGCCACTGGATACATTTTTCACTAATAAAAGTTGTAGCCAAGCGACAGTAGCATCTGTAGAGCAAACGACGATCCCCTCCCCCTCCCCAGCAGCTACAACTACGTCATCACAAGCCACATCAGGCTCTGTGCAACATCCCTTGGAGCTTGTTCCACTCACTTCAAGTGCAACTACGTCCTTAGAATCATCATCGCGATCTGGACATCTTTCCAAGCCCACCCCTTCCACTTCGCGCGGGGTATTTGACAACTTTACATCATCGCGATCTGGACAACATCTTTCCAAGCCTACCCCTTCCACTTCGCGCGGGGTATTTGACAACTTTATTATAAAGGATAAGATAACGCGCGCCGAAATCCTGTGGTGTCTTCAGACCGAAACAATCATGAATCTCTAAGAGCAGCAGCAAGTAGTTGTTCATTGTTTAAAATCATGTTTTCTGATTGTGAAATCGCACAAAGCATGAACCTGCAAAAAACAAAAATATCATACGTTATCACTCATGGCCTTGGACCTTTTTTTGGAAACATCTTGAAGAAAACAATTCAAAAATGTGACCATTTCGTCGTTGGCTTTGATGAAAGCATAAACAAAATTGCCCAGAGACAACAAATGGATGTTAACATTCGGTTTTGGGATGTAGATCTGAATAGAGTATCCACTAGATATCTGACTTCCGTTTTTTTGGAGCACACTACCTCTCAAGATTTGCTGGATGGCCTGAAGTCAGCTTTAGCTCACCTTGATCTAAAGAAGTTGCTGCAGATTTCAATGGATGGGCCCAACGTGAATCATCGTATGGTGAAAATGCTTAAGGAGGAGTTGGTCACAACAAACGAAGATCCACAACACCTGGATACTGGGTCCTGCGGCATTCACACTGTGCATGCCATTCAAAAAGAAACTTTTGCACATTCAAAAGTGAGAAGCACATTCAAAAATGGCATAAAGGCAACCACTTGGGAGGTTATTGATTTTCTAAGGGCGATCTACAACCTCTTCAAGGACGTCCTGGCCCACAGAGGAGATTTCATTGCAAATACCGGATCAATACAGTTCGCCTTAAAGTTCTGCGCCGTTCGTTGGCTAGAAAATGTTGACGTTGCAGCCAGGGCATTATCCATGCTGCATTACAGTAGACTCCCTCTAGTTCGGCTTCGGTTGGATCGGCCTCCGGATGGTCCGGCCTCCGGATGGTCTGGCCTCCGGATGGTCCGGCCCGGTCTCAGGGGGACAAGTCATATAGTCACGGGCGAATGACCTTCAACAGGATTCAACTTGAATGTTTAGTTTCCGGCCATTGAAGTAAACAATTCATGTCAGTTTAGTTGACGGGTGCTTCTATGGGCGAATTGTTGCATATTACCTATGTAAAACTTTGTTACATAACCTCAAAAATACCAAGAAAATTTTATAAATAGCTTTTCTTCAGTCTAAAATGTTGAAATGCAGTGTATAATTAAATATTTCGTACCATTTTTTTATGTGGTAGGTCCCCCATTATTGTTTTTGAAACACGACGGTTTATTTGACAAAAATAAATTAAAGCAAAACAAATAAAAAGCCATCGTTAGCTTCAAGGTCAAGCTATCCGCTTGCACTGACAATCGTGTGTTCTTTACACAACTGACGTCTGCTATGCGCTTGCTATCTCACAACAGTTTGTGATTGGGTGATTACTGATTAGTAACCATGGCAACTTGTTGGATGTGTGGATTAAGAGAAACCAAAGACAGAATAGAAGAACAAAGAAAAAAGAATAAGCGGTGTTTTACGTCATCCATTGTTATCTTTATCCTATTTTACGACTGTCGTTATTATCTGTAAGACTAAGTAGGCACTATGATTTTATGCTGTTTTATGAGTTATCTGATGTTTTTATCAACATTCTTATGTTCTGAAACAACATGTAGTAGTTGCCTATGCTGACTATGGTAGTAGTAGCTTGCAGTACTAGACTTTCTATTGTTATGTTCTTTACGTGATTTATTGCTGTACGTACAGTATTGTGTAATTTTTGTTTTGCTTGAGTAAGCGTGATTCTAAACGTCACAGTTTTTATTACTGAACCAAGGTTAATGACTTGACATATCACGATTGCGCAATACTATTATTTGTATTTTGATTATGTAAAATGCACTGCATCCTGTTAGTCCGGCCATTTTGTAGTCCGGCCAGTGGTCCGGTCCCGAGGTGGCTGAACTAGAGGGAGTCTACTGTACTTAGAAAAGTACGTGACAAAAATAAAAAACACAAACAGGGAGCCAAAGTGTAAAAGCTTTGTAGTGATAGAAAATTGTTTAAAGAGAAGTAGTTTACAAAAACAATCGTGATGAAAAAAAGTCTCTTTTAATCGCGGCAAAACCATTAACATCATCTGTGACCACATTGAAATTGTGAACATTCCCACACAGGAAAATTTACAGCTTCCACTGAACACACTATCTACAATAATACAACCTGACCAATGAGATTATTTTGAAAATTGCAGTTTATTGTAGTGTGAGCTCCTTGGGATATGGTTGTGTTGCTATGCTTGAATCCAGCCCTGTTCATACAATCATAGAACTTCACTGTTTAAAAAAAAAAATTATAAAAGCATATAATCTTTTACCTCTACAGGTGGATTATCGTAAGCCACTCCATTCCACCAATGTTTAAAGCCACAGGGACAACGATTCAAAGGGTTCTTGACGGGTTCGTTTGTCACGTCTCCGTTCTCGTATGCCACTGTGCCATCATGACGAATCATGCGGAGTTTCCTGCAAATAAATCCGATAAACATCACCGATCAAGTTACATACATATACAGCAAAGGAAAAGGTACCAACATATGAATTGCAATTTATGTTCAATGCAATATACATTGTGATTAAACAATAGCCTAACCATGTCAAGAAGGCTATTTTCTTCTAGAGAGCCATTTTAAAATAAAAAGCATCTCTGTGACTGCCATTTTAGCAAATGGGGTGACAATAAATGCTACTTAAATATGCGCTTCAAATATAGATGAATAAAATAACATGTTGCAATGCTTCAGGAAACTGTTTAATTAGTCAAGGGGGTTTGGTTTGGAAGGTCGAGTTACCATTGCAAAAGTTTTACAGCTATGCAATCGTAATTGTGTGTCAGAAACACTTGTAATCTAATATTTTTTTCTTTGTTTTAGAAATTGTTGACCGCTTAATGATCTAAAAACTTGCGTTGTTTCAGATTTGATTTGTGTTGCCTGTCGTTATTTGAAGCTCTGATAATATTCGAGGACAAAATCAAATGAGCTTTCAAAATGTTAAATGTTCCATGCTTTCAGAATCCGAGATGGAAAATTTCTCCAATAATCTTTTACACCAAATAACAATACTAACATTAATACAAGAATGTAAAATTTAGAACTATTTCATGAGGCTTATGGTTTACTCTACTCACCCACTACAAAACCGACAAATATTGGAATTTTGAGCTGCGACTGCGCTGCAGTTCAGACAGCGCTGCAGCCTGCCATTCTCCAGAGCTCTGGTTGTAGCTTTTACTACTGATTTAATCTGCAGTCCTGCACCTGGAAACAGAAGATAACTTCAGCTCTTGTGTTTGGGATTCTTTCTTGGGAATGTACGACCTAGTTCTGTCTCTATTCATCTACTAATTACAATATTCCCAGTGAAGTCTAATTGAGATTCATAACAAAACGCAAACCACAATAATCAGTGTATAGTGTATAAAAAATCAAAACTCATAAATAAAGAGAAAATACACTTTTGGTTAGAGTTGTTGACAGCTTTGTACTAAAAGTGGATGTTGAACAGAGCCACAAACAGATTGTGCTGGTTTAAATTAATGATTTCTTTTGAATACCAAAATAGTTAAAACAATCTAAACAGAAAGACAACTTGTTATGAAACAACTTCGAGAGACAATTCCTCATTGTCTCTTCCAGAAAAGACACATTATTAAATGTAAATGTAGTGAAATGCCACCTGATGAATGCCTGCAATCTGCCTATCGGTTACTTTTCAGGAAAGTGACACCAGATTGCCAAAATATGTTCTTCTTAGTTCTTATCTACAAATCAACCTTAGGCTGTTTGAGTCAGCCTGTTTTGAAGGTGTGTAAAGAGTGAGTTTACTTACTCTTAAAAGACGTACTTCAGCTTATAGCCTACTTATCAAAAAATCTAAGATGGCGCCAGGTGAAGGCGACGACTCTTGTGGTCTGTGTAAAAAGAAGGTTAAATCTAATCAATCTGTTCTTCAATGTGAAGGGAAATGTTGTCTATGGTTTCATATTAACTGTCTCAAAATTGATAAAGTTAAATTTGACCAAATTGTATCGCTTGGTAAAATAGTGCTGTGGATCTGTACTGCTTGCCGGGATGCAATGGATGAAGGATGCAAGGATCAACTTCAACTGTCGCAGAAAGCAAGTTATGATGAGCTTCAATACTCTCAGTTGAAAGTTTAAATGAAATTATGATCCAACTTCTTGATAGTCACGATAAACTCAATAAATTGGTGACAGAACATATTGGTCGGTTGTGTAGTGCCCATGACGATAGCCAGGAACCATTACATGAAGGAAGTAGGCCTATCTCCAAAACCTTTTCTTCGGTCTTAAAATCTGTGCCCTCTCACGTAAGACAATCTCCCAATAATCCTAAGAAGAAAAACGACCACTCAGGTGAGTCAAGGAACAGCCAGTCTAGTAGTCCTAACCTAGATTCTAACATTGGACTAGGCCTAGGTCTAGATACCAATAGTGAAGAACACAGGCAGGGTGGCAGTAAATGTGATGAAGAAGGTTTTACTCGTGTTGTTTATCATCGTAGTCCTAGACAATCTCGCCCTAAAATTGTAAAAGGTCCAAAGAACACTTCCGGCAATAAATTGGTTGTCGGGAATGGTAATGGCAATGGTATCTTTCAAGCTGTTAGTAAAAAATCGTGGATCTATGTTACACGATTTCAAGTAGCGACCAGTGAAAGTAATGTGAAAGGCTGTGTCGAATCATCTTTCCCAAACAAGATGATTGACTGTGTAAAGCTCCCGACACGGCACGACTCTTATAACTCGTTTAAAATTGGCGTGCCTTGTGAAATCGTTGATTCCCTGATGAAAGCTGACTTCTGGCCCTCAGAAATACTCATAGGAAAATATTTTCCTAAAAAAAGTACCAGGCCTACTTCTCATTCAAATCCTGTTTCCAGTGTAGAAGATCCTAGTAGGACTAGGCCTAGTCATAGTAATTTTTTATCACAGTCTGTGCCTCCAACTCATCCAACGTAAATATGGACTGGTTACCCTGTAAGGTTAGAAGTTTATTCACTGTAATAACATTTCTCTTTCTAAACATACAAGGTTTGGGCGATAAACACTCAATACTTGAAAAAGACTTTCATAGTTATGATTTTATCTGCTTGTCCGAACATTGGGTTAAAAGTGACAATATCGATCTCTGTGGGCTTTCAGGCTACAACTTAGTCAGCAATTTTTCACGGACTTCGCAAGGTAGAGGGGGCACCCTAATTTTTGCCCATCAGAAACATCAATGTGAAAGGATTGACCTATCCAAGTTCTGCGCAGAAAAAACTTTTGAAGCTAGTGCAGCTATAGTCAAAGCTTATAAACTCCTTATAATCTCGATATACCGTACTCCTGACAGCGACGAATGGTCTTTTTTAAACACTCTAGAAAAAGTCCTTAACTACCTCTCAAAGTGGCGTGACTTTCATATAGTTATCGGTGGTGACGTCAACGCACAGTTTGATGTGACTTCAGCACGAAGATCTGTCACGGAACTTCTTAATCTCCTTAGGCAATTCAACTTATACCATCACAACAACCTACCCACACGTGGGACTGCCTGCCTAGACAACATACTCACAAACATCAGCCAAGAGAATGTCTACTGTGCTGTCAAGCAATTCCACTTCTCGGATCATGATGGACTATCTTTACATTTTGTCTGTGATTGTGAGTCAGTGCCTTCTCATACTCTAACATCCATGTATAAAAGGTCTTTCTCAAAGCAAAATTGTGATATTTTTAAAACTAGACTGCAAAATATTGACTGGAAAGGTGAACTAAACTTTCCAACTGGAACCCACTTACCTCAGCCTCCAGGTAAAGCTTTTGCATTACTTAATAGTACTCTTTTGCATGAAATAGATATCTGTTTTCCTCTGAACAAGTGTAATACAAAAACGAATCGTCGTAATGTAAAGCCAAATAAAAGCTGGTACACTGCCAACCTTAGTGTTCTCGAGGAGCAATTAGATGTAGCCTATGACAAACTTAAAAATAATTTCTCACCTTTTTTAAATTCTGACTATTGTAACTTAAAGAAAGAGTATAAGAAAGCTGTAAATAATGCAAAACTTGTCTATAACGCTAAACTTATTGAAAATTCTGATAACAAGTGTAAAACAGCCTGGTCAATTGTTAAATAGAACTGTCAATCTAACTTCTCCTCAGTAAATGTACCTATAGATCCAAATGTTTTTAACAAATCTTTGATTGACTCTGTCGACAAAGTTAGATCTGAAATTATTCGCCCAAATGTTAATTTTAATGACCTCTTAAGTACTTTCCCTGCTAGTAATAAGAATTTTAACTTTGCTCCTGTCTCTTGTGACTACATTCTGTCAATAATAGGTAAAATGAAAAATAGCAAAAGTAGGGACTACTATGACTTTTCTAACTGGTTAGTAAAGGAGGTTTCTGACCTAATCATTGTACCTCTCACCTATAGCATTAACACTTGTCTTCTAGAGGGACACTTTCCCGAGTGTCTCAAACTTTCCAAAATCATTCCTAAATTTAAGAAAGGTGATAGGAATAATGTGGGTAGTTATCGGCCTATAAGTCTGGTTTCTGTCTTGGCAAAGATTTTTGAGCATGTAATTTACGATCAAATCAGTCAGTTTTTTTTAATCTAACTCACTTTTTAATCAACATCAGTTTGGTTTCAGGGCTGGTCACTCTACCATGGGTGCTGTTGATGGCATGGTCCGCACAGTCTTGAGCGCTTTTGAGAGCGGCAACTATGCTTGGGCCACGTTTGTCGACCTAAGTAAGGCTTTTGACTGTGTTGATCATGGCATCTTACTGCGCAAACTGCAGTATTACGGGGTCCATGATGGTGCGCTCAGTCTCTTTGAGACCTACCTCGCGGACAGAAGGCAGGTGGTTCGCATAGGAGGAGAGACTTCCTCGATTGCAACTAGCAACTGTGGCGTTCCCCAGGGGTCTGTACTTGGCCCTCTACTGTTTCTTATTGCTGTGAATGATCTACCTTGTAACTTAAATGGAAATATTTTTTCAATATGCAGATGATACGACCATGCTTAATATTGGTAGAGATATATCTAACCTCAAAAATTCTATGGATCATGGTATTAATAGGGCCACAGAATGGTTTGCTGCCAACAGCTTTCTTTTAAATAGACAAGCTCTATCTTACTGCTTTAATCTCTGTCTCCTTGAAGGCGTCTTTCCAGATGAATTAAAGGTCACCAGAGTCTGTCCCATTTTTAAAAAAGGTAAAAAAGACATTCCAGAAAGTTGTCGCCCAATATCAATCATTCCTGTAGTATCAAAATTGTTTGAAATCATGGTTTTTGATCAGCTGAATTCTTTTTTTGAAAGAAACAACTTTTTAAGTGTTTCGCAATTTGGATTTAGAAAGGGCAAGTGTACATCAGACGCAATAGATAAATTGATTAATGAGGTACTAATGGTCTTTGAGAGGAAGTCGCTTGCTCAGGCCAATTTCTGCGACCTGAGTAGGGCTTTCGATTGTGTGGACCATGATGACCTGATAATGAAATTAAGTTTTTACGGTATCAACGGAACTCCACTTTCTTTTTTCAAGTCATACTTAAACAATAGAACACAAAAAGTCAATATTGGTGGAGAATGGTCCCAAGAATTAAAAATAAAATATGGCGTGCCTCAGGGGTCTGTTCTAGGTCCTCTGTTATTTTTAATTTGTATTAACGACCTCCTAACATGTATAACTAGTAAAACTTATTTGTATGCAGATGACACAACATTTTTAAATATTAATCCCGATCTTAAACAACTTCAAGAGTTAGCACAAAACTCAATTAATGAAGCTTCTATCTGGTTTGAATCTAATGGCTTCCTCTTAAATAAAGATAAAACTCAAAACATTGTTTTTCGCCTTAGACCGTGTGAATTAAATATGTTGGATGGCTATTTAGACAATGTGAAATTTCTTGGTGTTTATCTGGATAAGACTCTTTCCTGGGGACCTCATATTGATTACATAAGTTCTAAGCTTTCAAGGGTAATTTGTCTTATGACTAAACTAATACATTGTATAGATCAAAATTATATTAAAATAGCCTACTTTGTTTATTTTCAATCCATTTTTAGATACTATATTATATTTTACGGTAATTGCAGTAGGATAGAGGAAATTTTAGTCTTACAAAAGAAGTTGGTTAGAATTATATCTTATGAACCCCAACAGGAACACTGTAAACCCCTGTTCATTCTGATGCAAATTCCAACAGTGATTAACATTTATTTATTCGAC